GTAGCTGGGGAGGGGAATGGAGCTTAGTTTTGTCCAAGTGGAAGATTACAAGCAACCCCTTGATTGGGTTTTCAGCAACATGTCTTCTCCAACAGATTACAGCCCATTGATCTTCATCAGAATCTTGTTTCTGTTATAGAGAGTCAATGTGGGCTTTCTTCTTCCCTCATCCACCTCTCTGTTGACCTCTGCAGCGGATGAAGTTTAATGAAGGGGATAAGGATTGGGGTTTTTGTTTTCATGGGGTTAAATCCCTACCGTATTTCTCAGGTAAAGTGGCTCATTTTAAGAGGAATGCCTCTCGTTAGGGAACTTTGGAACAATGGAACAGTTTTAAGTAGTCTCGAGATAATGAATCTTTCAAGCTCCGCATAAGGGAAATTTCTACTGGTTTGAACTCTTTAGAGCTAAATCACAAATTGGCAAAACCTGGATTGTTTGCTAGAGCACTATTGTTGTTAGTTATTATTTTCTGCTTTCACTAAGCTGACAAAATAAAATAAAATAGTTTTAGAAATTAAAACAATGACACGAATACTTAATAAACGTGATCATATGTCTAAAACTTAAAGAGAGAGTGAAACTTGAAATCGAACTTTTATATTTTTGATTCTGGAAACCTATTTTTCTTGTGTGCCTTCTACATACATACAAGATATCTTATGAAACGAATTTCATAAAAAAAATCTTCAATATTTTGGTGATGTTAATTAAAACAAAAATGAAATATTTAAAAAATAACAGTCTGACAAAAGAAAAAAAAATTTCCAAATTTAGTACAGAAAAATAAGAATTTGGCCAGGGAACTTAAAGGAACCATTTTTCACCCTCTACCCTTGATGTTATTTTAATTTTGATTTGCAGGATCATTAAAATTGACGTCACAGTACATAGGGTGTTCTGTTCTTATAATGCCCTTGCTGTTCTAACAACGTTCAGGACATACAGTTTTAATATTCAATATTTTACTCAAGTAAAACACAAACAGGTATTTAAAAGTGAAATTCAAAATCTTAAGGTACGATGATTCCTATATCCCACCTATTTAGAGCTAGCATAAAAATTTTGAACTTAATAAGTCGTTGTTCTGTCCTTCTTACAATCCTAACCAGTTAAAATTAGAGTAGCTGCAAATTAAATTAATATGACAAAGAAAGTGATCCTGATGACTTTAACTTCTCCTTTAAAATTATCATAAATCGTCAGATTTTAGATTTTTTTTTTACTTACTTAAATTTTACTTTATATGTGGGAGGAAGTAACAGCTTTTTGTTTATAAATGGATTATTAGAATACATGTTAAATGTTATGTGTAAAAACAGTATGTATGTATTTATTCGCGAAGTACTCTAATCTTCAATTTATAATCAGCTAAATAATTTCTTAAAATCTTTTTACAATGTAGTTTTCTTTTAAGGATAGTAATTCTTTTTTTGAAAATTGCTTTTCCGAAAATTCCTATTTTATAAATTTGAAAATTGCAAAACTCACCTATAGTTCTTAAAATAACTGTGAGTTTATGTTACGATATTTTTCAGTTAAATATTAATTTTAATTAGTTGCAAATTACCATCAGAAAATAGACTAACTATTATCTTAAACCAGGTCGTTATCTAGCGAAGTTTCAAAATGAGTCGAAAATTTGTTCTGTAGATGGAGCAATATTTGTTCAACAGCATTAATCAATGCTTTATGCAGCATATGTGAATATTCATAGTGAAATATCTGCACATTTGTTCTTTAATTTTCCTTAAACTGCACCATGTTACTTCTTCGAAAAAGGGAGTTAATTTAAAAACACTGTTTAATAGTTTTCTTCAGTTTGCAGAGCCCACTGTTGACAAACTTCTTAATTAATTTTGAAATTTAGTGAGTATAAATTTCTCTAGTTTTTTAATTAAGACTCAATGCAACGTACATTTTTAGCAACTTTTATTTAGTTGATTTTTTAAATCATCAGTCACTTTTTGGACAACAGTGGGCTTTTATATTTCCCATACTAACTTTGTGTATTTCAATACTTTGAGTACTTCACAAACAAGCTTGTTCCCATAGATATGAAGTTGAATACTGCCCCATTTGGAGCCTGAACAAAGTTAGAATGAAAAAAAGGCAAAAACAAGGTTTACAGTGAAAGTTTTTTATAAAAAAAAAATTTTTTTTGTTAAGTTTTCTGCTTGCCTTAATTCAATATTTAAGGTAACAAGCTCGTCAGACTAATAGTTCGACTATTGTTAAAAAAAAGGATAAATTACTTAACCTTTTTATACCAACCAAATGAAAATGGAAATACAACCTTTGCCGTGAGGTTGCCTGCTATTTGTGAATAATTTAGATGTCGGAGGGTTAATATGTATTTTTAATTTGCTTTCCTATACACTTTTCAAAAAAATATATTACATCAATTCGAATTTAGTTTCATTCAGTTCGTCGAAAATGCACATGTAACAATAACTCACTATTTTTGGATTGGATTGCAGTATTTAAGTTTCTGCGCTTCATCTTTCCAAAACTCAATGCTCGAGGGTGTGTACCGTGCAGCCTTTTACCATTTGCTTAGAGGATGGTACTTAATTACATTTTACTATAGTTTATATGAAGTAAGAACTCCCCTAGCCATTCGTCTGGACCCGTGGCGGTGACTATGGTAACGAGGTATAACTATTTCAATCAGGGGTGTGGGGTCATTGTTTAGGACAGGTTTTGGCACTGGTCGGAGAGAGAAATCTTCAGTTTATTGTGTTAGCCCTAGAGTAAAGAGAAGCTTACATCCCTGGAATGCGCTATTCTTATTTCCATAACAGCAGATGGCCTCAGACTTTGTAGCGGGGGGAGTTCTTACCGTAGACAAACTATAGGTAGGTTTGTTTTGTCAGGTTTGAATAATATTTTTCTGTACTATAAGAGCGAATTCACTAAACAAAATGCTTAAATAAATGTTTATTTTTTTGTGAATCTTAAATAAACATTTGTGTAAGCTAGTGAAAATTAAAACCTTGCAACATTCTATATACAATTAATCTACAAAATTATTCTTTACCTGAAGCAGTTTTGATGTGGAATCCTCGAATGCTAACTTCAGAAAAGAAACAGTAATATTTTCTTCCTATATTGTGCATACTTCTTTTGCGATATTATCTTAACAGTCTTTTAATTTATAAATTGTTTTAAGAGTATCGAGCAAAGCTTAAACGATTTTTAACTATCCGAACAGTATTCACCACAAAACTCTTATTTAATAGAATCGAATTATCTTCACTACTGCGTTTTTTTTTACTAATTAAATTACATTATTAACAACCTATGAATTATAATTTCGTAAATCCATTAGTAATATCCAATTAGTTCAAAAAGGTAAGCCTTAATCAATTTCCCATTAACAATAAAAATACATTCTAGTAAAAGATTCCTTTTTATTTTCTTATCTTCATAATAATGTAAAATTCAAATACAAGTTTTATGTATTTTTCATGTTACTTGATTCTTTTTAAACTAAAGCTGTGATAGACAATTTTTTCCGAAAGCAATTAAAATCTTGAAAATATGTTTTTTGATATCTTTATAAAACATCAATATACTTCACTTTTCGAAAAATTAGAGCATTCGAGACGTCCATGTTATAGCTGAATTTAATTAATAAGAAACAAAACGTCATAAGTCTCCTTTATTAATCGAGTTTGTCTTGGCGAATAACCTTCTTAATTAGTGAATATAAGATTCTTCAAAAGAAGAGAAAATTAATATGGTTGAAAAAAATTTCGTTTTTAATTTACGGAATGAGAATACGGAATGAAAATAAAGAAGAAAATAGCACCGAAATTTTTATCGCTTTTGAAATTTCTAAGCTTAAGCTTTTCTTTTAACATTTTTTCAATAGTTTGATATGCATTAAGTAAAGACTTGTTCTTTTAATGTTCAGATAAAGACATTATCAAAAAGAATTAACTGCGCACATAAAGTTAAAATGCATAGATTTAGTTTTTTTTTTAAAAAAGACTTTTGATCATTTGGATAAACTCGGTATAATTTTATTCATTTTGCAATTTAACACTCTTCATTAATATGTTCGTCATTAAAAGTATTGATTTTAGTAAATATGATGTAAAAGCTACCTTACACTATAAAAATTTATCAAAATTGTTTATTTAAAATGTACAGTTTAATGTACGTTAAATGTAAAATTTTAAAAGCGCAATATATAACAGGAGTCACGTAAATACCGCGGCAAACCTCTAGGGAAGTTAGGGCACATTCTATGCGTATTTCCATCCCATCCATGCACATGCAAAATAACCCATTCCCGGAAATGTCGTCGTAGGCCACTAGGGGCGCTTTCGAACAGGTCATAATAGGAAAGAGCCTCTATCCGCTTATGACGACATTTCCGAGTATGGGTTCCTATGCAGTTTTAAACATGATGATGTGCCTTAAGTCCCTTTGAAGTTTCTCGCAACATTTACGCGACCCCTGTTATATATAAGGACCCTTGTTATAATAAACAAAACTTGTTTTACAAACTTGTTATAATAAACATGAAAGTTGGATTTTGGCCCATAAAAATATTCTAGAAAATATGGCCCCAATGGTTTAGTCAGGAGAGCGGTCAAAAGTTATGGCCCCTAATGTTAATTTCCTTCCTCGTGTTTTTTGGTCGAATCATTGAAACTAAGAATGAAATTCAAAAAATTATTACACCCACTTATGAAACTCATTTTCCCAATAGTATTTTTATCAATTAGTAAGAAAAAATATTTTTATTGAATATTATGTTTTATATTACTTCTCTATACGACAGGCGAAAAGTTTGAATTTGACAATTTTCAAACCATGAAATTTCAAATGATATAATACAAAATTTATAAGAAATTGGCCGAATATTATTATAGTTTAAATTTTGCACTAAAATAAATTTTATACTAAATAAATTTTATTATAAAGTTTATACTGAAAATTTAAATATAAGCTTTTTTTTTACTTTTTTTTTTCTTTTTCTTTCTTTTTCTTTGTTACATTAAAACATAAGTCTATAATTTTTAACTCACTAACTTTTGCAGAATTCCTTTGATTTAAACAGATGTACTTGCCTGATAAAAAAAATCATTTTTAATAAAAAATGTCGATTAAATACGATTAATTTATAGAACTTATATTTTCTTCTAGGAAATGGACTGCATAGTTAATCAAATGATGACAGTAGCAGAATACCTCGGCTGGGATGTCACTGAATTAAAGCCTGTAAGTAATAATAAATGTCAGACTTTAATTATTAATAATTTAGATATAATATGAAGTAAGTTGTTGTTTCTAATGCCACTTGCAAATGCCAGCAAACCTGCCTGGTTAAACCAAGCGAATTTAAAGCAGAGGGGGCGTTTCTTGTTTTTCAGTAGTACTATCTAATGGCCAACAATACGACTTCGGCCACACACACACGTCACTGCCCGTTTCAAAGGGCTGGCCCATTCATACATCCATTCATTCTCCCACAGATTGTAATTTAGACCTGAACCAGAGAACGATCAATCTCCCAATCAGTACCCTCAGAAGTACTTTTATGCTTTACTTTATGTCCGTCGTTGAACAGTCGACCCAATTTTGGGTTTACGACTACTAATGTTCAACTCCGTAGCCTTGCCATTTTGAACCAATCCAGAAGACAAGGAAACTCCTGGATCAGTACCCCCAGAGGTATTGATTTGTTATGGGAATTTTGGAGGACTTTGCGACTCTACAGATTTAACGTGCATCAGTCACCACTTACTACACGGGGAGTCTTCGGCCGGAGGAAATCGAACTCACTACCTCTTGGCCATGGGTCCAACTCCCTACCAACCAGGCTATCCCGGCCCATATGTAATGATTAAGCATATGTAGTGTGTAATCATATATATTGAACCAAATTACATTCTCAATAATTGTGTAAGTTGGTTCATTACAAATAAACTCAAGTTACTATCAAAATTGAGAATTTTCTATGACACATTTTAAAAGCTGGTGCAACCGCAAATGCTTTTTTTAAAAAGAAAGGGGGAAAAAAACCAGTTTTTATGTAATTATGAAGAATGTGCAAAATTAAAAACGGACCACCCTGAATAAGTTTTGATCTAATAATTGAATCTTCACGTTCTAGGGGTTCCCAAAAGGTGTTCCCCAAATCCCTGAAAGAGTTAAGGGGTTCCAATAATGAGTTTTGAAACCACTGTCTATATTTAGATAAACCCAATAATTTATAATTTATTTAATCTTGCGGATGCCTTTATAAATTATTTCAAGTAAAATGCCATTGAAATAGAAATGACACTTTTTACAGGAAAATATTAATTTCTAATAACATTAATTGAATTAAATTATGTCAATAACAAGCATTTATTAAATATTCCATTAATATTTCCAATAATTCGCTTTTCAAATCAAATTTTACTGTCGGACATGCAATCTAATTTAAGATTATAAATGATAAAACGATGAAAAATCTTCATTTTTCTAATTAAATACTTTAAAAACGGTATTTTTTTTAAGGTTATAACGCTTACAATCACCTTAATAAGCCAATTTATAAAGTTTGTTTTCCACTAAAAGAAGGTTGATTATTTAGGGTTCCGTAGCCGAAATGCTAATTAATTAATGCAGTTACGAAGTCAGACACAAAAACGTATTTTCTCTGAATAAACATATCTTTTACTCATCGGATTCGGATTTGTTACTCACAGATTACATGGGGTAGTCGCAATATGGGAAATAGTGTCTCCATTTTTGTCACTGATTTCGTTATTTTAAATGTTGTCTGCATTAGTTAATTAGCATGTTTGAGGTCACCTTCACAAACCGTTAAGATTGAGTCCTAGAACGTGGAAATCCGATCATTAGATCAAAAGTTTTTCAGGGTAGTCCGTTTTTTATTTTGCACACTGTACAATTGAGACTGCATTCATTGAGACTAAAATTCCCTTAATTTATTAGCTTATATTAAATGTATGAAAAAATATTAATCAAATCGGATAAAAATTAGTATGCCGGACAAAACGTTTATTGCATAAATAAATTATATTTTTTATGCATATTACAACAAACTATAAATTTATATAGATTTTTTTATTTACTCAAAATTTTCTGTCTGTAAAGCTAGATATAAATGTTTTTTTTTTTTTTTTTTTTTTCTTTTAAACTGTCAAATTGTTTGAAAATGCTGATTTTGGCTTTGTGTTCCCTTTAATCTAGTACTGTTTGTTGACAAATTCTAATGATTTGTAGCTCATATTTTTTTAAATTTTATTTTTTATCGTATGAAGCTGAGCTCTTGCCCATAAGCAACGGTTATTTGCTAAGCTCCGGGCTTTAATTCCAAGGTTCGCGTTGGGTTTTGATTGGGTGTGCAATTTCAACCGTCATATCCGGGAAAATAGTCTGCGCATGCTTTTTCAATGCTTTTCAATTTCTTACGCTGATATCTGAAATGAAATGATTTTTCATGTGATTTATTTCTCTTTATTTTATATTATAAAAGGAACATATGTTACTAATTCTAATTTGCATTTGTGTTATGTATAAAGATAGTGCAACATCATACAAGCATGATAACACATTAAAAAAAAAGTATTAAAATGCGGAAGGTATTTTTGATGAGGGCGGGGCAGTGTTTAAAGATTGCAAATTAAAGTGTAAATGCCTTCCTTTTCTTTTTAAATTTTCGTGATTACATAGTGCCGATACTCGCAATTGTAGTGACCTTTCAAACTTGTTTTTTTTTCTTTTTTTTGCCGTGCTACGTATTTTTATAAACATTTGATGTAAAATTTTAACAGAAATAGTATTTGTCACTAAAACTTAGAAAAAAAATTTTAAACTAATTTTTAAACATTTCATTAAAATAGGCATCGTAATTATATATAATTAAAAAAGCGCTTTAGTGAATAACTTTTTAAATTTTTAATAATATTTTGTATGTTTGTTGGTGCACAAGGTTTTTTGTTTATAAATATATTGTACACAAAATTAGATTTCTAGCATTAAAATTATTAAAATCATTGCATAAGGGTCATTTTAATTGCGTGTAATTAAAAAAGTGTTTCAATTAATGTCTTCTCGAATTTTAAATATTTTTTATGAAACTTAGTACATTAGGTATCTTGCATATACACATACGATGCACAAAATTTAGATTAAAGCATTGAAAAGAAATTCTAATAAAAATTAAAAATTAATTAGAATCTTTTGTATTATTGAGGAAATTTTAATTACGTTTTGTAAAACAAGATTTTTTAATTAATAACTTTTTAAATTTTCGATATTATTTTTTTATGAAATTGGTATGCAAGACATCTTGTTTATGAATATATTGTACAGAATGTTAGATTTCTAGCTATAAAAAAATTAAAATTTATTAAAATTATTCAAAATATTGAATTACGTGAACTTGTAAACTGTTTTAATTAATATCTTCTGGAATTTTAAATATTACTTTTTATTAATTTGGTACAGTAAGGAATTTTTGATATGGATGAAAATTAGGTTAAAGCATTGAAAAAACAATTGTAATAAAACATTAAATATAAATAAAATTATTTAAAATTATTATATTATAAAGAGTATTTTAATTACCCTTGATAAAAAAAATAGTTTTTTTATTAATAATTACTTAAAGTTTTAAATATTACGTCAATGAAGCTTGGAACATAAGGTATCTTGTATATCGATATAAGGTTCATAAAATTTGAGATTATAGAGTTAAAAACATTGAAAGTTATCAGAATTATTTAAAATTATTATATTCTAAGGAGCATTCTAACTTCGTGTAAATAAAAAGATGTTTAATTAATACCTTCATTATTTTTCATGAAACTTGAGGCATAAAATAACCTATTTATGAACTTAAAAAATCAGGTTAATCAAAAATAAAAAAAGTTCGCTTTAAGGCTGAAGATGTATAAATATTGCTTTAGAATATTTTTAGAAACATTTTGCTTTTAATTAAGGTCTGCCAAAATTTTAATTCATGGAATAATTAACCGTACTATAATTGACTTAGGACTAAGTACCGGCAACAAAAAAAACCTAACGCTGGTTGCATTGATCTTGTTAAGATTTTTTGTTTGCCGACAGTGTAGCCATCTGATTAAATTAGCTTTTCCAATTTTTGTATTTTTCCAGCACATCAATGTATTTGCATTGAACAGTTGAATATAATCCACTGAATTATTTTACTAGATTTTTGAACTATAATTTTTTACTCACAAAAATGCTCTTGAATCACAGTATTGAAGAAAATTGTTTCTTCTATCGTTAAATCATTTTATAAGAAAAGTTTGGCATCTTTAAAAGAATTTCTAACAAGAAAGTTTAAAAAAAGCAGAAAGAACATTTACAGAGTACATTTGAAACTAAGGGGTTTCAAACGTAGTTTTTAAGTTTTTATTTATTTAGGAACATTTAGAACGAAACAATAAATCAGTATAAAAGTTTTTTTGCACGTTATTTTCAAATCTTAAATGAATAACTTTCACGCAAAATGCATGAAAAGTAGAAATAGATATTATGATTTTTACTACTTTTTTTCGTTAACCCTTTATGAGACCGTACTTTCCACTAACCAAATTAATTGTTAATTATCCATGTGTATTTTTAGATGTCTTTTTCCATCTATGATGTGAGATTAAATCTTCTTATAACTTTAAAAAATGCAACAAAAAAAATTCAATGAAAGGTTTTGTTGCATAATAGTGGCTAACTGTAAAGGTAAACATGGGGTCAAGAAGAAAGCCATCAACGGGCAATTATTTTCTATTTTGTGTTTGATCATTTCTCATTAAGTTTATTTGTAGTTTGAAACAAAGAATTTATAACTTCAGAATAATAATAAGAATTTATAACTATTTATAAGCATATAGCCAATTTCTCACAGTAAATAGAATTTTTATATTCTCACCTAATAAGTAGTCTTAAAAATTCTATTAATTCTAGAAAATGAGCTAGATTAATTTCTGCTAATAAATCATTCTCAATCCCAAAAATATTTTGACGTAGCAGTTAGAAAACATTGCCCTGTAAATGGTAAACTGCCGCAGCAGATTTGTGTACGACCCAAATATATTTATAGTATTTTAAATATAATATCTAATTTGTCTATCATTTTCGGTTTCATTAACTACGAGTAGATAAATAAACATATTAATTGCTGATATTCATACATTTCAAATTAAAAATTCAACACTTCTTCTCTTTTAATATCAATTATAATAAGTGTATCTTTTTAAATGGTTCATTATCTCTGCAAAAATTCATAAAATATTCACAACATTTGTTTCTCTTTTAATGTCAATCATAAAAAGTGCATCTTTTTAAACGGTATATATTCATTGCTGAAATGAATACAATATTCACGGCTGAAATTCATGCAATATTCACAGCATTTGCTTCTCTTTTAATATCAATCTCAACAAGTGTTCCTTTTAAAAGGTATATATTTATTGCTGAAATTCATACAATATTCACAGCATTTGCTTTTCCTTTAATATCAATAATTAAACAAGTGTATCTTTTTAAATGGTATATATTCACTGCTGTAATTCATATAATATTCGCAACATTTGCTCCTCCTTTAAAATCAATCATAAAAAGTGCATCTTTGTGAATAGTTTTATTTTTGTAAAATTCAATTTTCTGATATTTATAGATTTTGCAAGATATGATGGTCGAGATAGATTACGATGCAGATGGCACCGTTTCCTTAGACGAATGGAAAAGAGGAGGATTGACAACTATACCGCTGCTTGTACTGTTGGGATTGGATTCGGTAAGATACGGCACCTAGAGTGCCGGTACTTTTTACCGTAATTTGACCTAAAATTTTTTTCAGTGTATAATAATATACAGGTAAATCTTTATGTACACTTTTTTATAGACGAATATTTGTTTTTGAATGTCAATTGATTTAGGAAATATGATTGGTTAACTAGTTAACTATTTCTACTTCAGATTGTTAATTGTTCAGATCCACTGTTGGGATTGGATTCAGTAAGATATGGCACCTAGAGTATCGGTACTTTTCACCGTAATTTGACCCAGATTTTTTCACAGTGTATAGTAATTTACAGTTAAATCTTAAGATGCAGCTTTTTATTAGACGAATAGTTGTTTTTGAATGTCAATTAATTTAGGAAATATGATTGGTTAACTATTTCTACTTCAGATTGTTAATTGTTCAGATCCACTGTTGGGATTGGATTCAGTAAGATATGGCACCTAGAGTATCGGTACTTTTCACAGTAATTTGACCCAGATTTTTTCACAGTGTATAGTAATTTACAGTTAAATCTTTAGGTGCAGCTTTTTATTAGACGAATAGTTGTTTTTTAATGTCAATTAATTTAGTAAATATGATTGGTTAATTATTTCCACTTCAGATTATCTGTTTTTATTGCTATCAATATTCGCCATAACAGACTCATCTTTTAAAGACGTTTTAGAATATCAATTAAAGTGAAAGAGGATATTAATCAATCCGAAGTCTCAAACAAATTCTTCCATATTTCGCATTACCGCCTCTAATTTAGTTATTATTAATCGACTAATGAGGTAACCCAATCCAGGTTGCTGAGTTTGTGCGTCAAGCGTTATTATGCAAAATTAATTGCACAACTCTGTTTTCGTAGTCGGGGCAAAATTCGATGCCTTTCCGAATGATTGGTGGAGAACTGTAAATACGTCATAATCGTAATTCTCGTGTAGAAAATGGAAATCCCCGTCTAATTGGTGCTAACTTATCATGCTGTAATTTTAATTGCTCTAATTCACCTCCAAGCTAGAAGTTGGGATTATGAATGGAATTGGATCTGAAATATTTAATCTGGCATTCGAGAATAGAGTATGTACTTCTCCCTGTAATGAATGTTTAATATAGTACTCTATATTTAGTGACTGTAACGATACTGATTATTATTCAATTGCATGATTGTTTAAACAGTTAGAAAATTATTATATCTAAATCCTACATCCTGTATTCAAAATTTTATGCGATTTGTGGAATAGTTGAAACATGAATGTATATCTATGCTAGATCTATATGTCGTAAGCTAATTGGAAAATACGGTTTATTGCAAACTGCTGACGTCACTCTTCAAAGTGTCTACAAGGCTCAATGTTATAAGTTTTAAACGAATGGTGCAGGCTGTCCGAAATTTCCAATAAACATCGAATTTTCCAAAAAAAGAAAAAATCTACGTTATTTAACATAGAAATACTTTATTTTAAACGGCGTTGAACAGCTGACCCAATTTTGAGTTTACGACTAACGATGTTCAAATTTGTAGCCTTGTAATTTTGAACCCAACCCAGAAGACAGTCGAATCCCTGAATTTTGGGGCAAATTAGCCTTCGTGGAGAACTTTCTGATAGAACTCACCAGCAATTGCGTTGTATGGAGAGAAAAACCACGAAAACCTCCCACGGTTATTCCGACGGTAAGGGGAGTCCAACCCATGATCTGTCTTCCACAAATGATATTTTACGTTAGAACTATGTTCAGTGAGAGTCGGGAGAAGAATTTGCACCAACCAGCCACGGCTGAGATTCGAACCTGGGTCATCTCATTGGGAGGCGAAAGCTCAATCAAAAAGCGAAATCTACAGCGTCTCAAAAACATAGAGATATTCTAAACAATTACAATGTCCCCCAAAAGTCCTTATTATTTGGTCGTCTCCCAATGATCCAGGTCCGAATCCCAGCATTTGCTGGGCTATACGAATTCTACTCCCAGCTCGCACCGACCACAGTGCTTGCATAAAATATTCTCAGTGGTAGACGGATCATGGGTTAGAATCCTCTTACTGTCCGGCTAACCGAGGGAGCTATTCCTCTCCATTTAACGCAACTGCGGCTTAGTTTCATCAAAAAGTCCTCCACGGAGGCTAGTTTGTCTCGATGCTTGATACAGGAGTTCTTTTACTTTCTGGATTGGATACAAAACTACAAGGATAAGAAGTTGAATAATGATAGTCGTAAACTCCGAATTGAGTCGGCAGTTTAACGTCAGTTATAAAATAAAATATAAGTTTGTAGTGGCGTTTTTGAGAAGCGTTATTTATTTTTAGGCCCTATTATAGACGATGGCTAGTTTTTCATAATTTTATTTTTCTGTAATAAAACCGCATCCCCTGTATTAATTAAGGGGATAAAATCACCTAATCAATTGCACTGTTTTCATCAATATGAATAAAAAAATGTGAAAGTAATAAATTAGATTTTTTTAAAAAAAAACTTTAAATAAAATAAAATTCTTTTTTTTCAACTTTTGAGTAATTTTTAATACGAACTTGCTTAATTTTTATACTCAATTAAAATAAATAAATTAAAGTCTGCCAAAAAAATACGCCATTATTTTTTCTCATCATTGCGTAAAAGTCAAACACAAAGTTCTGAAGATTAAGTCAGAAAAAAATATATTAATATAACATCTAATTATAACAAGAAAGACATTTTTCAGCATTTTATTTCCGTGAAAAAAGTTTTGATCAGGTGAATTTATTTATCATTTCTCTTCTTGGAAGCTTCCTAACGCCATCAGAACTTTTTTGCCATCAGAGCATTTTTTTGAAGTTGAGACACTTTTTTTAACCATTTTGTGTTTAATACATGAGTAGCTTCATAACTTTTTTCCCACATCATTAAGGACTTCCTGATGTTTTGAAGATTAAGTCAAAGTTCTTAAAAGATTAGAAACAAAGTAAATGGACTAATGAAATCGGTTTTTAGATAAAAACAAAAGGTCACAATGGCATTACATTCACTTTTAAATACAAATAAGTAAGTAAAAGTCTAAAAATAACTTAAATTTTTTTAAAAATATATAAAGCTCATTAAAATTTTATTCTTTACTAATGCCCAAGAAAGTTAATGAATATTGCGAAACTCTTTAAAAAAATTTAAAAATATATCTCTTTCATTTTAGTGTATTGCTTATAAATAGCAAAATAAAAGGATATCAAACCCCACAATTTTGCATGTCTTTTTTATCCTATATGACTTTAAATTAGAAGTTAATTACCTTCTGAAATAGTTAAAAATCATAAGGATCAATACCATAAAGTTTTTATTATCACAATTATTATCATATGTGACCCTGTAAGTGATGCCATGTGTGGGTGCCGAACCTAATCTGCAGCTAAATTAAATTTGATTCAAAAGTTGATTCAGCGGGATAATACACCAAACCTAATAACTGTAATACGCCATCTTGTTTATACACAACCAGTTAATTTTAGCTGTCTTCTTCTTCTCGAGTTGCATGTACCCAATTATCTGGAATCAAAAATAAAATTCATACTTTCAATTTTCCCTTATTGAAAGTATGAATTTTATTTTCGATTGCAGATAATTGTATCGCTGATGGCTGCAAAAATACTAAATAGTGTTTCACTCAGATAAAAACACATTAACCATCAAAGCGTTAGAGGTATTTTACTCAACCAATTTCCCCAATTTGTTCTTTTGGAAAATTGTACCAAACAGAAAAATAAGATTTTTGGATTAGATTTTTTTTGTTAAAATTTTTAATAACTTTAAAAAAAAAGCACTGAAAAGGCAAAATACTATTTGAATACGAATTATCTGAATTTTAAGTATTACGTCTGAAATATTCTAAATTTAAAGTAAATGTTAAAACGTTTCTAATTATCAATAGTCATTAACACCATCAATTAATAACCATTTGATAATAAATTATTAGGAACATTAATTTAAAATAAATTATTTTTTTAAAAAAAAAAAACAATGACATTTTCACATTTCTACTCAAGTTACAATAGGTTAGCTTAATTTGAAATTCCTCAATTCATCATGAAGTCATTTTAAAGATACAATAACGAATGTTTAATATATCTGTATTCTTTATCGATATGGGTTAAGCGAAATAATTTGCTTTTTGAGAAATATTTGCTTTTTTAATAATTTATAAATCTTTAAACAAATTTCAAAATTTATTTAACCCTTGCTTTTCAGATCTTAAGTAATAGTTAAATTTTTGTCATGTTATTTACCTTACCAAAAGTATTGCCATTCTTTGAAGCACAATGATTTATTTTAAAAAATAATCATGGAAATTCTAGTCTCAAACGATTTTATGTAATTAATCTTTTAATACACAAACATTGTATTTCAAATAAATTATTCTTTTGTGCTATTATATTTGCTTATAAGGAATAAATAAATTCTTTTTGAAAAAGTATGATTACTTATTTGAAACAATAAACTCGAAAATTAATTTTATTTTATGCTTAAAATTTTATTTTATTTTATACTATCTATGTTCCGTTACAGTGATTATGTAAATAACACTTGCATTATTTGGGACTCATTTTCCAGCATTTCATAAATATTCCTAGACAAATATAAATTAGATTGTTTCTATTTTAAAATTAGTAAAGCTGTGTAAACCATGAAGAAAGGAGACGTACAGTATATTTTAAAATCTATAATATATTTTAAGAGGGAAAATGCATGTTTTGTAAAATACATATTTATATAATTTTAAAAAATAAATCCATTAAGAAGTAAAATACGTATTTTAAGAGTATAATACATTTGAAGATTCACAAAGCATATTATGATGTATATGATATTATGTGATGCATTGCACTTTTTAAAATGCGTAATTCAATTTAAGTTGCATATTGAAATGCATATTATTTTTTGTAGAATGTCAAAGATGATGGAAATCATGTTTGGCGACTTAAACATTTCAACAGACCTGCCTATTGTAATTTATGCCTCAATATGCTAGTTGGTCTTGGAAAGAAAGGACTGTGTTGCATCTGTAAGTTTTCACATTTATAGTTGTGCAATTCAACTAAAATTCAGAATTGTTTATTTATTTTCTATTCTCTTTATAAAAAAATTTTACTTTGCAACTGTTTATCACATACTCGCATTTTAGTTTCTTATCACATTAGTACGGATAAATATAAAATATAGAATAGTGATTATTAAAATTTATAGCACAATGTGTTTGGCAATCTCAGCTGCTCAAAAGCAACAAATGCTAATTAATTCTGGTAATTAATGCAATTATTAATTACATAAAATAACTCGAATTGATTCTAATTGTAAAAAAATTAATCTTTTGTAAACTAATAACGACGTTTAGAAACCGATTAAATATTTGCGCTAATATTTTTGTTTTTTTTCCTGTATTGCTAACATATTTCAATGCCCAAACGGATATTGCCATTCGTTACTCGAGTATCAGAAAGACAAATATGTTGACCACTTTTTCAGGGGCACCCTATTAGGTGGACCAAAGCTGCTCGCACAGTAAAAAGGGCAGATAGTACAGTAAAAAGAAAGTAAAAATATCCCTGCTGCCTTGTCTGGGATTCGAACACAGGACCTTTCTGGCATGAGGTCAGCTCCCTGACCACCATACAGCCGGGCAATTGCTAAGATTATTTTGAATGTTAATTAAATTCTTCATAAAATCAAATTGTAGAATTAAGTTAATGATAATCGTAATAAGCTTAATTCGACTTCCTTAGGAGAGAAGGGTATTTTTTTCTATTTAAAAAATAGTCAAGTATCAAAGTGCAAGAAGTTTTACTTTTGTCACAATTAATCATTTAAAACATTTGTTATCAAAAATTACCATTGTTATAAGCTGAAATTATTATCATACTCACTCATAAGACATTTTTAAATTATTTTTCTTATTCTGAAACGTATACTCATTATTTTTTGTTTTACAGTTTGCAAGTATACCGTACATGAAAGATGCGTTCAAAGAGCTCCTGCTTCTTGCATAAGCACATACGTCAAATCAAAGAAAACCTCCCACGTAAGTGTTTACTCTATCTTGGCAAATAATATAGCTAACTTCAGCATATAACAAATGTTTATTCTATCTTTGCAAATCAATGAAAACCTTCAACATAAGTATTTATTCTTGACAAATTATATAAACATATTAGTTTACCTACAGGACTATTATATTGATTTGGCAAAAGAATTGCCGATCGTATTTGAATGATATCTTTTAGTAAAAGCAAACCGAACTGTTAAGCCAAAATTTGTAAATTTTCAAATAGTAAGGGGTCAGTCAGTTCTACATATATAAAGTGTTTTTGGAAAATAGCTGACCAAAATTTAATAAGAGAGGATAATTAAGAAATGATTCGCGGTAAAAATCCCTGGAAAGCAGAGGGAAAATCCTGAAGAGTAAAAAAAGTAGAAAAATAAACCAAAGGGACAAAGACAAATGTATAGTGCGGTTTTCAAGAGAACCTTCTCCAGACACCTCTCTCGCGTCGTGGCAGGTACTATGGTTACGAGGAAAGGACACTTCGAATAAGGGTGAATAGTTTTGTCTGAATCTTGACATAGGTCGGCGTGAGTAAACCAATTGACACCTTCTTTCCGCCATTTAACCCCCATTAGAGATGTACTCTCACTTGTTACCATAGCAGGCAGCTCCAGATTTTTAGTCTGGAGAAGTTCCCTTCAAAGCCGCGCTATAACAAGTTCTTTTTTTTAAATGAACGTGTCACAGCAAATGCTTAAAAAGCGAAAACGCATCATAAGGCATCGTCAGCCACAAGGAATAACTTACTCCCTATTTGCACGAGGGCTGACATCAGACGCATGACGTCATAAGAAGAACGAAAATCTGATTTTTTAGCTACCAATTCTCCTAGAATGCTTTCAGACAAGCTTTGTATGGTGAAGACTTTGCCAAGACAGGTCGGAAAATAGGTGCGAGATGATTGGCACCAAGCGTCACGTGGTAAATTTTCGCCTATCTTTGCAAGATGAACTTTTTACAACCTATTAACACAAGAGCTGAAAAAAAAGGAATCTGAAGGCACTCTTCTGACGTCACAAGCTTGAAAAAAGGCTTGTAAAATTAACAACATTCCTTGTGTTAACTACCCTACCTGGATGAGCGAAAAATAACCACGTGACGCTAAGACCCAATCATCACTCGCCTGAATTCCAGCCAGATTCGAAGTTGTCTTAGCTCGGCGAAGTTGTTTGCTTTAAAGCAAGCTAGAGCCTGATGACAGGCCTCGTGTAAAGGGGGCAAGCAATAGATTTGTATATGTGCATAGATTTGGCAAGCCTTTTTCCTACCTTATGACGTCAGAAGACTGCTTTCAGGCGCCACTTTTCGGTCCTTCCATAAATGTCTCCAGCAACGTTTTAAGTCAATCTGTGAACGAGATTGGCGTCGGAGTTCAGAAGGGTATCTTTGATGATGCTTTTAAGTAACTTCACTGAAAGAAATCCATGCAGAATAAACAGATCTGGTAATTGCAGCGGCCATAGAACAGGTTCACCTCTACCATTCCACTCGTGACGATAAGCGGCAACGATCAGCTTCCTGCACTATCGGCTTGTTTCGATTGCCCTACACAGCGCTCTCTACAGCATTCACGCCATGTTTTTAAGTACTCATTTATACCCATTTATGCATTATTCAACAAAATTGTTGAATAATTTCAAATTGTTGAATAATTTCAAAAATTCTGCATAATTTCAAATCTTTTTCTTTTAACTGGCAAATTAAAAAAGCCGAAAACTAATCAAAGTAACTGACAACTAGTGAAACTGTCTCTAAAATGATGCTTAAATCGAAAAAGTTTTATTTTGCCTAGTGTCTTTGTATAGATATTTTTTTAAATACCTATGTTTAATTTAATGGCGTTTCATTATGCAAAAAAATCTATTCAACTTCAGGTTTTAGATTTAATTTAAGAGGTGCGTTATACTTTTTTGAAGCAAAATGTAATAAATATTCCTTCAGTTTTCATTAAAAGCCCATTCAATATCACATTTTTATAAGTTAAGAAATGAGACATGTATACAATGTAATATATTTTCGACGATTCATTTCATTTTAATTCAGAGGACATAATATAAAGTGGGAATGGATTAAAATATGCACTAGAAATGAAACAAAAACAAAAAAGTTAATTGGATTTCGAAAAAGCGATATGATTGCAGGAAATTGCCTATTCGTTTCTCTGAGTTTCAATTAACTCTACTTTCAATCAAAAAATATCTTCCTTTTTTTTTAATTAGTTTCCTTTAATTGCTATGGGGCTTGTTCGTAATCAAAATGTCTTACAAAATTTTGAAATTATTTAATTTACTCTCATTTTTTTTTTCTTTCATTTTGAGAAAAATTCGCTTTAAAACTTTTAAAAAATTAAAATTAACTTATAGTTCTATTCATTTATTATCTCATGATAATTTACCATCCAATTTACTCATTAACAAATACAACACAAAGCATTTCACTTATGTTTTAGTCTTTTTATTTTCAAAATTCATGAAATAACTTGACATTTTCTTATTGCAGAAACGTAATTGTAAGGCTCTAATAAAGGTTGTAATGAATTTTTTGATATTTCAAAGATATATATATATATATATATATAAATGATCCCCTCCGCAGAGTATCGAAATTGTGATGGCATGCCTTCGGAGCATCCTCTGAGATGTTTCCCAGACCGTCGCCAATAGCCCATTGTGCAGCTCTAGTGTGACGCAAATTAACAACAACAACATATAAATAAATGACTGTTTGTCTACATGTGGGTGGGTGTGTCCCTTATGTCCTCAACTCCAGCTGATGGTTTATAAACAAGATTGCACGTTAAAGTCAAGCTAAGTTTCTCCACATAAGTTAGAATGTTAATTATCGTGAATTCAATTAAATACAAGACCTAATCGCATATCGAGTTTCTTAAAATATAATTCTTTCTCTTCTACGTCTTTTACTCAACTTAAGTTTATAATTTTCTTTTATGCATTTCATTGTAACAGTGACATATTTTTGATTTGTGTACTTGGTAACTTCGATAATTAGTTTGTTTGTGTTTTACATGATTTGATGGTTGTATTTGTGTTAAGTAAGATTTAGAGAAGGAAATTGAAATCGTTGTGAAAGAATATAGAATGTGTCGCTTAAGAGAATTGATACTTGAGGGGCTTGACTTACTCGAAATAGAATGGAAAGAACAGCTGTTAACGTAAACAAATGCTACGTTTTAACAACCAATCAGGATCGAGACGTACTAACAAGCAAAAATAATGGCAAATAGGATACTTATTTGTTACGGGGAACCGTAAGAAATCGCCATATTATTATTAACACTAATGCTTAATAATAAAATAAACTATGTGTTAAAAGGCAAAATTAATGGAGAAAAGGTTAATGGGAAATTCATTCAGGAGAACCGTAGGAAGTAACCATCGATGGTAATATGTATTACTGGTATTATGGTAATTGGTGCAGTTTTAATAAGTATTCTACTGCAGGTTTTCTGTAGTTTCAGAAAATATTTTTTTCCAATGGTCGCAAAAATAGGTTATTAATATTTTAAAGAATTCGAATTAAAAGAACTTTTTTCCACCCCTACTTATAAATAATTTAACGGCAAAATATGGATCAGATAGAGAAAAGTTCCTGCTCGAAATTCCTTATCAAATACTAATAAGAAATCTATTTTTCTTTTTTTAAATACTGGCTTTCGTTGACTGCAGCTGACAAATGCATGTTGCATAAAACTTAATTGTTGAAGGATAATGTAACCAGTACCAAATATTCTAATATATGTACGAAATATTACATTGTAATATTTGGTGATTATAAAAACTTCACCAATACTAAGCAGTTTTAATATTGATGCTTTGGATATAAGTGTTTTACGTATTCTTGAAAGGCATATGTTCAGGAGAAAATTACTTGATAGAGGTAAATGTTGACTATCATGAGTTTACCGTTAGCGATAGCATCATGCCAAGTAATACTAAATACATTTTGTCTTTATTCTAACGGGATGAACTGCAAAAGTTTTGCTTACTTCAATAACGTAAAGCTACCAATAAGAGTAACGATTAATATTGAATTTTAAAAAAAATTATTTTAGCTATATTATTTGAAAAGCTTAGTGAAAGAACTAGGTAAGCGACATTTTCAGAACAAAAAAAAAGTTGTAACCGAACTATATTACTACCAATTTATTAGAATACGGGACTAATAATTGTTTGCTTTATTTTATTTACCACTACCAAGCAATAATTCTAAAATCTAATGTGGATTAGTTATATTAAGATTAAAGTGAGGGCGAAAACAGTTCTGCTACATTAAACATACCCATATTTATACAACCACTTTTTTCTATATTCTCTGATTCATTAATTCCCCTAAAAATGTCACTTGCATGGTTCTTCCATCAAGCTCTTTTTGTGTCGGTATATGCCTTTCAGTTTAGAGCATTATTTTACAGTTTTTCGCAGCACTGATTTACCCCATGCAGAGAACGGGTATTCAGCTAGTAGTAAATAAAAATGTCATTGCGACTTCTAAAAATTTTAACCAAACAAAACACATTTTTATAAACTTTCACAAAAAAAAAATTAAGATTTTTGTGCGTATTTTACTTATTTGTCTTGTTGTATTACAACTCATTTTAATTAAAATACAATAAATTGAATTCAAACTTAATTAAAAACTGTTTGAATTCGTATTACTAATATAATGAATTCGGCTTAGAAAGTTAGCAAATAATAGAAATCAAAGCTGGTTTTAATACGTCCGTCCAGAAATCTGTCATAGAAAATAAGATACCTTGCAGTAATTCTGATATTATAATTAACCCTTAATATCCGTTAATTCCGATTTTGAACGGATTACTAAACTCTATGAGCTCCAATCCATCTTAATGAAGTGAGTTTTAGACTATTACTCCGTAATGTTATAATAAACTTCAATGATTATATATCTACTTGCAATATTGTATTTAGCGTGAAACTCAAATTGCAATTTGCACTTACGTGACAGTTTGAGCGGAAATATTTTCTTTTTACAGAAATTACTACTTCTGCCATAACAAAGTAATAATAATTATATTTTAATGAAACTTCTTGAAAAAACAATTAGGTTTTACATTCTATCTTTATATATCTTCCTATATATATTCTATCTTTATATATGTTCTATTTTCAACTCTAAAAATAAATCATTGATAGCATCGTTTTTAGTGCACTCTGAGTGCAATATGAGATTTTTCGATCTCTTTTAGAGATCGTCAGAAAAACCCTCTATATATTTAGAATGTATTTTATTCTACTTATTTGTCTTGTTCATATTTTCTTTTTATATATATTTCTTCGCGTTTCCTTATTTGACCTTTTCCACATTTGATGCAGAGGTTTTAATGGTCTCTACTAATGGTTTTCTTCACTCACAAGTATTTAGAATATATTTTATTCTTCTTAATTGTCTTGTTAATATTTTCTTTATATGTATATTTTTTCGCGTTTCCTTATTTGATCTTTTCCACACTTGGCGCAGAGGTTTTACCGGTTTCTGGGAGAGGTTTTAATGGTCTCCGCTAAAGGTTTTCTTCAACACAAAGTCTATGGAAGAAATTCCATGTCTCCCGAAAGTGGTCGTAAATAGAAGAGGTCGCTACGTAGAGGTGGTCTTTCCTGGACGCTTCACGGTACTACGGATATTTCACATAATGTTGTCATATTTTCCTTACATTTCTCAATAGAACACTTTTTTCCCTTGCGACATTATTGATAGGCCTTACTGTTTAGCTGTAAATGCACATCACTATAGTACATAAACCAAATCATTAGTACTACATCAACGAATATCACACCAATAAAACAATCAATTTGACTGAGTATTGCAAAATACTCAATCCTGATGCGTAGCGTTTTTGAAAAGTGCTTTAAGGTGCTTATTTTCAATTTTCGTTATTTTAAAAAACTTAAAGGTGCTTCTCTCATGGGGTTTTTCTGAAATGAGTGTTCTCATGAGTGTTCCCTTTTCGTAAATGAGATTTTTTTTTTCCATGTCGATTTTCGCTGCGTATTATGCAAAAGCGTAGTCTTTACATAGTTCCATTCAACGTTTTTACAATTCATTCAACCACAATCATTTACCATCGGTTCGTAATGTATACTAATCATGTTACATGTCTGATGAAATATTTGGAAGTCCGCATGTGCATATACTGAGCGGGTTCGGTGGGATTCTTGCACTCGCATGTGCAACTCTGTTGTATTTTCTAAGATATTCTCGATTTCAGGCTTCATTTTCCACCCTCTGAAATCGAACCAAAAAATCCCTCGATCTTTTTATGGTGGCTAATATAAACAGGAAAAGAGTTCTTTGTGAGAAACTTTATTTCTTTGCTTTGCATTTTATTACGATCATGCAAAGTCTTTGAAAATTATTTTGCATTTTATTAATGTATATAGTACTTAAAAATATTTATTTCTTTAATATTTATTTTAAAAACTTGTTTTATAGAGCAACGAGCTTATTAAAAATTTCATTGATCTAATTCACTTTCAATATTAGGATGTTCAGACTTGTTTCGCCGTGCTCTTCATACGACAGTGTGGAACTACTTATTTCTGTTAAAAAGATCACGAACAGCTACGAATAGAAGACCAGAATAAAACAAGAAATTTCCTTACTTCATTGATTCAAATATGGTAAAGAAATTTAAAAAAAATTGTCAATAACCATAAAAGCTTGGTAGGATCTGTACCCTGAAATCGAAGGGAGAAACAAAATGTATTACATACTAATTCCCATAAATAATTGTTTTCCAAATCATCTGTTTAATAGAATTATTACGCTCACTTCTCTATGGTGTTTTTAAAGAAGTAAATTATTAGTTCTTTTAATTTTTAGAGAACTTCTAAAATATATTAATTTTTATTTTTAGACATTGACTCACCATTGGACGGAGGGTAACTGCATAGGGAAATGCAGTAAATGCAAGAAGCCTATAAAATCCTATAATGGCATAACTGGACTACACTGCCGTTGGTGCCACATGACTGTAGGTTATAATTTTAGCCTTTTACATTAACAACTTATTTTAAACATTTGTCGATTGTTTCAGTTCTTATATACACTTCAATCAGGCAATTATTTTGATAGGTCCAATGGAAAACAATGACAAGCCACACTTGAAAAATGTCTAGCTTCTTTTCTTAGTGCTTTATTTTTTATTATTTATACTCGGAGTTTTATTCAAGAAAACTCCTCAGGATGTTGTCATTTTTTTAATTCTTGTCAAAAATTCGCAAATTATCATGCAAAAAATTAAAAAAGGTAATCAAACTTTTACAAATCATTATCATGATTCATCACTGTGAAAGGCAGAATTAAGGACATAAAAATATTGATTATTGAATAAAATTGAAACAAAAATAGTTATTAGATATGCCGTTCATTTTCTAATAATTTTGATATTGTTTTTACCCTTATTCGCATATTAATTAACAAGCTCAAATTTGTATAACTTTGAAAAGAATTTTAAAATTATTTATTACGGGTAGTGTTATAAGGCATCTTTTGAACGAAAACTGTATCTGCAGGGAATACAACACCAGTTTTGTGAAAAAATGTGGCTTGTTGCATAATTGCTTTTCAAATAAATGTCCAAAACTAACAGAAAAATGGTTGGTTTGTCATTGTTGCCCAATAAATCTTTCATTTATACTATAATAAGTATGACCATGCCTTCATCTGTATGAAGTATTCTTAAAAACTAAAATAGATCCGCTCCATGCAGCTCCGGCTTCATTAGTTACAAACTACCACAATGGTACTGTTGCAGTACATAATAAATTTCAATAAAAGCTGGCAGTACCAAAGTTTGCTTTAATATTGCGTGCATCAGAGAGCTGTTGCGTACACCAGAAAGCTGAGCAGCTCGCAGAAGTTTCTTTATTTCAACGAATAACGGGTTCATAGCCTATACGACTTTTCAACAACTTGGTTGATAACGCAAAAGTTGTCGAACAAGTCGTATAGTTTATGGGTTCTTCAAGTCGTCGACGGTCTGAACTGAAGTTGAAACAAAAAGGAACCAAGATCCATGGATTCATCCAGTATGATTGATTCTTCATTTCCACTGTTTTGTGTGGTTATTGTTTGATATCGTGGCCTGATTCGATTCCGATGCTGTTGAATTCGTGTTTAAATGTGCCTTGCATGGAATATGATGACTTCTATTTTATCCGCTGTTTGTAAGCAAGTGAATCAGTTCATTCAGAAACCTGCCGACATTTTTTTAGGTTATATTTCAAATGTTATTTTCTTAACGAACATTATGTTATTTTTATGACTGTTATAAATTTATAACAATGACAATATTAATGGGTTAATTTTTTTCCCTCGCTAACAAGTGCTATGCTGATTATGAAAATAGCGAAAACTATCAGCTTAAAGAAAAGATAATTCTTTTAAAATTGAAAATTTTTTGTGGTCTTATTATTATAATGTTTGAAAAATTACCTCATTGCATTGTTTGAGTTCATAAAAATATGGAAAAATTGAGAATCATACATTTATTTTAAATATTTTTATCAAAGGGGAAAAATGCCTGCCAAATTGGCACTTTTTTTAAATTTAGTAAGTAAATTATTTTTCTTGAAAGCCACTAAACTCTTTTCAGCAAAAAATAGCATTTAACTTACAATTAAAACTTTTCTTCAAGTTTAAGTAACTCAACCGATAATTTCTTTTTATTTTAATTAGTGAAAACATCCTTAATGTCCTAGTAAGCAGGTTTCTGGACTAAACGATTCAACTTTAAAAAAGATAAAACTCATTCCACTAACTTGGTGTCCAAAACTAAAATATAAAACGCATGCAATTTGGAATTATGATGTTTTGATTTTATTTTAACACTGGCCTCTAACAGCCAACCCAATTCTGAGGTTACGAATATCAATGTTCAACTCCGTAGCCTTATCAATTTGAACCCAATCCAGAAGACAATGGAAGACTCTTGGATCTCGCATTGGAACAAACTAGCCTCCTTGGAGGACTTTTTGATTAAACTAACCCGCATTTCGTTACATGGAGAGGAAAATCTCGAAATCTCCCGTGGTTTGCCCAACGACGAGAAGTTCCAAACCCATGATCTATGCAGATATTTTACGCCAGCACTATGGCTGATTTGAGCAAGTATAACAGCATAAATAATTTTATTCGCATGCATTAAGCATTTTGATTGCGTTGTTGAAATGAGACAGATAATTATGGGTTAGCCCTTCATACGAACAAAACTTATGACTAAACACTTATTTACACAAATTTACTTGAGACACAAATTTACTGAATCTGGAAGAAATTTGCCAAACTTCCTTTATTTCTTCGATTTACGAGACGAAGGGGAAATAGATGTATTATTCTACAAAAAAAGATTTGTAGAAACATTTTATTTACCAAAAATGTTTCGATATTTTATTTATAGTATCGAGTCTACGGCCATAAATAATATTAGATTATATTTTTAAAAAATAATGTCGTCAATAATGTAATGTAATGTTGTCATCCAATGTGGATGCTTATATGGGTAAATATTTTTATCTTCCCGAAAGGATTTGCATAAGATGATTTTATTTGTGTTGATTCTGTTCTTTCTATGTTATTCTTAAATTTTTAGACATTTCTGGACTTATTTAATCGTTTCTTCCTTCTTTTAAACTTCAGTCATATCAAAGCTTTTCTTTTTCTTCCGCGTTATTTCCGACATCTCTAGATATTTATGAACTTGTTCCGTTGTTTTTGCGTTATCTACGAATTTTACTTGGTAAATATTTTCACCGTTATTCTACATAACGGTGAAAATATTACATAACGGTGATATAATCTACATAACGGTGCATAGCATCAAAATTTATTCCAAAAAGTGTGTTTGTAATTTTAATTTTGGACACCAATATATTTCCTGACGTGCTTCATGTATACTTTTCAATGTTTCTTATTTTAAATCTACAATTAAAAAAAAAAAGAATTTTCGAGAAATTTTCTTCGCATGTTTCGTTACTGTAACTGATTATTCTGCTAATGAGTACATTATAACAGGTATAAAATATTATACTTTCAAAGTGGATAATGCTTGAAATACTTTCACGCTATAAATATTTCTATAAATGCATAATTTTTCTTTTAAATCTCGTGAAAATATATGTTGCATGAATTGTTTCAACTTGCATGGAGAAGTCCTTAAAATGCTCATAAGAATCAAATCAAATTTAATGATTTTAATACAAATTCTTATTCGATTATTTCAAATTTAAATTTGAATAGGTATAACACAATTTATGTTATAACACATTGCCAAAATGCCTTCTTCTTTTAGTTTAATTCTAATGATTACACAAATAGTTAAGCGTGTTTGATTGTTAGAGGAGACAGAGAGAAATTGAAAAAATTACTATATAAACTACTTCAGTGTTTCATCTAGCAATCAAACAGTGTATTTGTGTTTTCAGTCCCACCTTTCTTAATAGTGATTTCTCTGATTTCAATATCTTTTTTGTTTTTGTCTTGTTAAATGTTAACTTGCTATTCTAATATGATTAGTGTTTTTTACTACAATATTTAATAAGAATTCTAAGAAATATTAAAGGTAGTTACTGCGTAAAACCTTGCCTAGTTTGTAGGTATTTTTAAATAAATATTTCTTTTGCCTATCAGGGTAAAAAGAAGTTCCATACAGTTTTAAAAACAAAATTACCACTTTTCTATATTCATAAATTTTCAGCAACAATATATTAAAAGATTTGAATGAAGTATGAATTAAGATTATAAAAGTTATGTAATATTGCATTACAATAAAATTACATTTTTTATCTGAAATTATGATTTGAATTCTAAAAGCCTCTTGCAAAGGTATTCTCTAAAATTCATCCTTTATTGTTTATATTTAGAATACTTATCCAAATTGAAGTCAAAAAGTATGGAAAGTTGGGCTGGGGCGCTAATTAATATATAATAGAAAAAAATTAAAACCGCTGTTGAAATCTGTCAAAGTGACAGTGAAAAAGATGAATAATTAAAACCAATTTGAATTCCTTGGTGAAACTTGAAGGCACTTTAAATTCCTATCTATCTCTTCCAGCAATCAAACAGGTTTCGATTTTTTTCCGTCAGACGTTATTTAAATATGGATAGATTTATAAAATAAGTTAAAGATTAAAATCTATTGATTTATTTAGCATATTTTTTCCCTTGCTAAATTCATTTTCTATTTTAGGGTGATTTATTAACTGTCAAGGAGGCTAAATATATATATTNTATAAATATATATATATATATTAGTAATTTTGTATTGTATTCTGTTAAGTTCTATTTCATAAAAAACTAATGCATAACAATTTCATTGTCAAAAAACTCCATGCCTTTTTTTCAAATTAAATGAATACGTACGTAACTTTTTTGTTTTATTCCTTTATCTATGAGCATCTTTGTCTGATAAAATACAGATATCGTGTGTTTATTTTAATGAAATGAAGAACCCACTTTTATCGATGGTTTATTATAAAGTTTTGTAAAAGCAACATGTTGTTCGCAAAATGTGCATGTTTAATATTACAACGCATGTAAAAATGTGATAAAAATGCTTTGCATGATTCATTGCAGATATTTTCTACATTTTATTATAAACTCAATTTGACTAATTTTTTTTATTTCAGTATAAAGGCTTTTGTCACTCGCCACGAAATGTTACATAAACATATACCTGCTGTTTAGTAACAGCACTACGTTAGAAATTATATATCAATCTTTATTTTTAAACTCAAACTATGTGTCTCAATGCCACTTTTGAGAATAATAAAAAAACATTATTAGATGTGTTCATATTTTTATAAATAGTTGAAAATATATCAAAATAGTATAAAAAAAATTTATTTGACTGATTTTAAATACTTCTATTTTTTTACGAAAATGCATCATATCATACAACTTTGATTTTTATAACTATTGTAAGTTGACTAACATTCAATAATGCTAATTATCGAAATTTTAAAAATCAGTAAGAAAAAATGCTACAGTTTAGTAAGAATTAAACGTTTTTATCATTTATTTCCTTTAAAAAAGTTGAAACGTCTCTAAAGCACATTGTTTGAGCACAGAATAATACTCAAATGTTGAGAATTGTTCACTGTTTTATAGTAATTTTTATTAGATTGAGAAATCTCATTCAAGTGGCTTTTTTTTAAAGAAGGAAAAAAGGGTAGACTTTTTTTAAATCTTTCAAATATGTCTCTGTCTTATACTTCAATCAACTTTTCAGCTACATCTTAGGTTTGGAATTAAATCTTCATTTCGAATTTTAAACTCACTGAATTGTTTTTATTTTCCTTGTACAAAACACTTCATACAGATGCTAATATTCTAAAATATAAACAGCCGAAAGTAATACCATGTGATGACTATAACATGTAGTAGTATAGTTTTTAATAGAACATGTTACATGTTTAAAACATGTTTTAACATGTTAAAAATTGTTTCGTAAAAACTATTTTTTTTTAATTGTTTGTTCTGATATTTTTTATTGAATCATTCTTAACTTTCTGAGGATAAATTCATTTTCTAATTGAACAATTTTGAAAACTTTTCAATCAATTCGTGAACGACTGTTTTATTTCTTTGTATAGTTTTACTTATGAGTTTAAAAAATAGAGTATCAGGCACGTAATAGAATTTAAAAGAATGCCTTTTATTATTAGCTCCACAACCATTGTGCCTCACAGGTAAAGCCTGAATGTACTCTTGGAGAACACAGGGATCATATCTTACCTCCTACATGCATATGCCCCATAGTACTCGTAAGTATGCAACCCTTACTTTACGCTTATTACTTTAATTTACGTTAAATGATTAAAAACAAAATATCTATTTTTAAGGATATAAAAAATGCCGGTTCAAATTACGGTATTAAATATCGGCACTTTGGCTATATTATCGGTAAAATCTATTTCCACCTTAAAATACATTTTTACCAATTACCGTAAAATCACAGAATCACTCTAATTAAGTGAATATTACTGTAAAAATTACGGTTTATAAGATTCTTTGTTCCGTAACATGTTGAAAATGGTTTTTTGGTGTAAAGTACCAGTACCCTGAGTGCCGATACTTTTTACCGTAATTTGATTTAGAATTTTTGACAGTGCATGTCGTCACATGAAATAACGTCTTTTTTTTCCTTTCCAAACAATCTGGTATTTTTATTACACCTGTCAGTTTGCAATAGTTATTCATGAATGTTAGGTTAAGTTTAACCTATTCTAGGTCAACGCTTTATAGCAAAGTACAAAACGTTAATATGAGGAAAATGAAATCGCTTCGTGAAAAAAACGAGGAGCGCGTTTGTGATCCAATTTTTAAAATATTTAGAACGATCTTATTTAGACTCGCAAAAATAGAGAAGTGTTGATTTTCTTCTACGTGAAAAATAACGTCAGTGAGACAATTTTTAAAAATATTTAATAGCTTTTATAACATTTGAACCAATTATCCATTTTAAAGCTATGATAATTCTTTTATGCAAGATTGAATGCCATTCTAATAATTTGGTGTATAGTTGCCACCATTTTTGGTTTGAGGTAAACTAAATACATTACAAAGTTCATAAATGTAATTATCTTGCAAGGAATTATATAAAAATGACGAAATAACAATTGTTTTAAAGAATTAGTGTAAATATATTAATAAAAATGTCTTTGTTTTATCGAAAGAAAATGCTTTTGCGATTAAGCCATAAATTGTTTCGAATGTAAATAGAAATTTGTGTTGTTAGTAAGTAAACAAACAAATAAATAAAATAATAACAAGGAAAATGGGACTACATGCACAATTTTAGATTCCCTCTACAAAATGTTTTCAACACCAAAAGTTTTTAAAAATGTATAGATAGTTTAAACCATAGTTTTACGTTAAGTGCAATGCACTTTTCGATTAAGAAAAAAAGGCATAATGTAACCTTTTTATTCGACACTGTTCTTCGTTGACTGTAGGAATTAAACTTGGAAATTTAATTTAAAATCTTCAGTTTTATGCAATTTAAAGCTTAATAATTGCTTCGATAGAGATTAAATTTAATATATGATTTAAAATCATAAAAAAAAATCCAACCTGAATAGTGCGTGATAGTACAGGTGCTTTCCTTGTTAAACATTATTTTCCAATGTTATCCGATAAATGAAATCTTACATTTACTACAAATCTTTCATATTACTTCTGCTGCAAAGTCGTGATGGCTAAAGAGATAGATCGTTTGCCTTCCAATAAGGTAAACCGGGTTCGAATCCTAGCAAAGGCTGGTCGATGCGAATTCCGCACCCGGCTCGCACCAACCACAGTGCTGACGTACAAATATCCTCAATGGTAGACGGATCATGGGTTAGAGTCCCCTCACCATCAGACCAACCGTGGGAGGTTTTTGCTTTTTTCCTCTCCATGTAACGCAAATGTGGGTTAGTTCCATCGAAAAGTTCTCCACGAAGGCAAATTTCTCCCAATACTTGATCCAGGAGTTCCCTTGTCTTCTGGATTGGGTTCACAATGACAAGGCTGCAGAGTTGAACATGAGTAGCCGTAAACCCAAAATATTAGGTCGGCTGTTCAACGACGGTTGTAAAATATAAAATAAAATAAAAATATTACTTCTGCTCAAAAGTGTAGTTCTTAAAGAACAGTTTAATTTAAATACTGAGTTCGAAAAAAAACAATATAAGATTTTAAGCGGAAAAATTTTTTTTTGTTTTTAAACAAAATAGCCCTTAATGAAAAAAAAATATCAAGCCAGAAAAAAGACGTTATTCTTTGTAACTAAAAATCATTTGATGAAAAACACTTTTTTTTCTTTAAAAAATTGATAAGAACAATTTTAATCTTGAAAATTGTAATGAAATATTTTACTTATCTTTCAAAAGAATTTATTTCATTAAATTTTATTGATATTGAAAACCAAAATACAAATAATTTTGTTATAGTCAAAGAACATATTAAAATAATTTTGTAAAGAGAATATTAATTTTAGAATTAAATATTTAGTATGAGAATAAGAAGCATAAAGTTAGGTTAGGACTTAATTAGATTTTGATTTGAAAGTATGGACTTAATTAGATTTTGATTAAAATTTACATTAATTCTTTTTAATAATTTTTTTCTTTTTTACTAATTAATACCACAGAAATAAAACTATGTTGAATAATGTTTAAAGAATGCGTTATTGAAAGGAATGTCTACAAATAATAACAATTTTAAATCTAATTTTCAAGCTCACCACTTAACCTTAACTTACTTTTAGGAATTTCACAAAATATTCCTAAATAAAACGCATATAAATAGTAATTATTTAACTCAAAACACGTTAGTAAAATGCAGTGTAACCTATTTTAAAATAGAGTAATAAAAAATAACACAAAAAGGAAATTTTTTGAATCCTGTACCTATAATCCATAAAAATTAAAAACTACTTTTTATTTCTGAATTATACATTTGAAACTACTACTGATGTTCCCAGGAGTGTTGTTTGTTTCAGTGTATTTTTTCATGAAATAACGCTAAAATACAATTTTCATTTTTGAGTCTTCAGCATATCAATTGCCATTTCGTGACCTCTATGCTTTATTCTGAATCCAATGTAATTCACTCAATTATCCGGAATAAACTAATGTGCATTGTATTAAATTAAATTGTATCTCACTAAGATCAAAAATATTGCTTCGATGCCTTAAATTTCTACATACTTTAAGTGTTTGCATAACACTGCGAGTATTAATTTGTATCTCAAGTGTGTAAATTTGTAAGCATATAATACTACATGTAGTAAGTGTGTTAGTAAATGAAGACTATAATACAATTTTAATTTTTACGTATTAAGCGTATGACTTGACCCTTAGTGAGATACCCATAATTCAAGGATTCATCTGGTTACAATGCTTTACTGTAAATCCAACGTAATTCACACAAATAAAGTAATGTGTATTATAATAAATTGGATTTTATCGAACTCAATAACATCAAAAATATTGTTTTGATAACTTAAATTATTGCATACTTTCAACATTTGTATAACACTGCATGTGATACTATATCGCAAAAGTGTAAGTTTATAAACGTCTAATAATACATTGCTGTAAGTGTGTTATTTGTTGAATTAAAGCTATAATACATTTATTTTCATGAATTATGTTAATTTTCATATGTTAAGCAAATTACTTGTCATTTCGTGAGACACCCATTATTCAATGATTCATCTGGTCACAAGGCTTTACTGTAAATTCAATATAATTCACCCAATGATCATACAGCAATATGCTTTATAATTAATTGAATTTTAGTGTACTTATTAAACACTAAAATATTGTTTCGGTGCCTTAGATTCTTGCATACTTTAAACACTTGCACAAGTCTATGTAGTTAGTTTGTGTTAATGTCACAAAGCGTATAATACTGCATTGTCTTAAGTGTATTAGTTAATTAATTAACACTATAATAAAATTTTAATTTTCATATGTTAAGCATATGACTTGTTATTTCGTGAGACACCCATTATTCAATAATTCATCTGGTCACAATGCTTTACTGTAAATCCAATATAATTCTCCCAATGATCATGTTACAATACAGTACAATATGCTTTATAATAAATTGAATTTTAGGGTACAAAAATATTGTTTTGGTGCCTTAGATTCCTGCATACTTTAAGTGCTTTCACAACGCTCTGTAATTTGTGTTGATGTCGACAGTGTGTAAGTTTGTAGATTGTCGCAAATGTGCAACACTTCAATATAAATTTCATTTTTGGTGCTTTTCATATATGACATAATATTCATATATGACATACTTCATAATAAGATCATAAAATACGGTATTTGAAATAGTTTTATGATTCTTTTCTTTAGGAACGGCAGCGAAGCGTTTCAACGGGCCACAAAAAGAATCTTAGCCGAACGGATTCTAGTCTGGTTGGTGGCGAAAACAACCAAGGAGCTGTAAGTTTACTACCTGAAACACCTGAAGTAAGATTACATAATATCATGTATGCTTTCGCCTGCCTGTAGATAACTTGGAATCACGAGCTTTTGTTGGTTGGCTGATCACAGAAAGTTGCTCACTTTAGTGCATCTGTATGCTCATACTGCTTTTGTATCCTCTCAATAACTAACATTGCTCGAATGCCAGCTTTAAATATTAACAGCTTTCGCACTTAGTTATTTAAAATTGATCTTTGCACTAGGAACTACCAGGAGTCTCAAAAATGATCGACGATTTAAAAGTCAATTCAAGTAAGAACAGAAGGAAATTGTAAAGTACGTTTTGCTGCGCTCTGCTTAAGAAACCTTACTGTTCTCGAAAAGTTTAATTAATAGTTATGGTGCTTCAAAATAAGGATTCCGACCAGAAAAACTGTAAAATAATGTCTTTAGTTAAATATCAGATTACTAAAATTAAATATTTGCTGGAGTGTCCTCATACTGCAAAACGTAGTTCCTGCAATTAGGGGTCAGTTTAAATAGATTATATTACAGTTTTTTTAGTTAGCAGCGTCATCTGTTGACGAACTTTATAACTAAGTTTGATATTTAGAAAAAATTAATAGAGTTTCTTTAACGGAACTCAGAACTAAATGAAACATCTATATTTCCTACTGTTTTCAATGCAAGAATAATTTTTGGGACACCTGGTATTTATTCGATGTATGATGTTAAACTCCAATGTGCTAACAGGCTATTGCTTTGTAAATTATCTGAAATGTAGAGATATTTTGTATCCATTGTACAGGGTCTACCAGAATAAGCGTCTCTAAAATAAAGTCTTAAGTAATTAAAAAGAGAGATATTCTACATTTGTTTTTTATTAATTAATGCAGATCTATGCTACTGACTTATTGCATGAAAGTTCAAATCTTTTCCCATTTTCATTTATAACTTTAAACAAATGATTGGTAAAACTCATTACAGCTGTTCGCTCGCACTACTTCTTTTGGAATTTCACCCCTAACCTGTATCAATCTTTCTATGAATTTTTTGAACACATTTTTAACTCACGTCAAATTCTTTTACTCCTTTGAAACTTTCCGAAGGTCTCAACTTAAAATGAACTTAAGAAAATTTTTCATGCAAAAAAAACTGGTAAGTATAAAGCAACAAAGAAATTACGGACTCCTGTTCTGGTTTCACCCTGTAGATACATTTTCAATTTTAGCATAAATGATAAGCAAATAGAGGAATCAAATGTATAGCACAAGTAAAAAAGCTCAAAGCTACTAAGTAGAAACCAGGCATGTAAATTGTATAGATGTAGATCACGATTATAGTTATTTTAACTTTACAGGTAACGAATACCGGAAGTTATAGAACGTCAATTCTATAAAATAATATTTTCTCTCTGGGTAGCAACCTTTGTAAGATTGATGAGGATTTATTATTGTTGGTTTGAGAAATAGTGCAGTTTGTGTCCTTGGCATAGTGGGCAAGCCATAATTTACAATAGAATAAAAAAATAAATAGTATCCTTTCTCGAATAAATCTATCTTTTTGTCAAGATAGCAATATTCGCCATAAAGGGCCGGGATAGCCTGGTTGGGAACGAGAGTTCGAATCCAGCCGATCGAAGAATCCTCGTATATTAAATGGTGACTGGTGCAAGTTAAATCTGTCGGGGTCACGAAGTCCTCCAAGTTCCCATAACAAGTCATTACCTCTGAGGGTACTGATCCAGGAGTTCCCTTGTCTTTTGTATTGGGTTAAAAAATTACAAGGCTACGTAGTTAAACATTGGGTAGTCGTAAACTCAAATTTGGGTTTGGCTGTTCAACGACGGTTATAAAATAAAATAAAATATTCCCCATGGCACAAATTATTTTTATTCTGAATATGTCACGATATAATATTTTTTAAAAGATAATAAAAAGGAAAAATTAATCTTCTTTTAAAAACACAATCTGTCGAATTGATATCCAACCATAAGATTTCCAAAAAACTGTATTCTTAAATTTTCATTTTTCAAAAACTATTCGTCCGACTTCTTTGATTTTTTTTATATTTACTTATTTAAAATTAGATAGCTTGAATAACTAAGCTTACTTAGTAAGCTTAGTAATTCAAGCTTACTTATAAGCTTTGAATCACTAAGTTTACTTAGTAAGTAAAAATCTGATAATTAAAACAAAAGCTATTCACGATATATTTTTTGCTTACTCTAGAGTTTATTTATTTGAAGAAAATGCAACTATGCATAGAGGCACCATCTAAATAAAATAATTTTTTTTTCCGATATAGAGGCGTCCGCTTAATATTTTTTTTGAAAAATTTATTTTTTAATTTAAGTTTATTTAGATAATCTGCAAAATTTATTATTGCATATTTTTAATCGGTAAGAACTATTTTATCTAACAAAATATTCCAGAAACATAACCAGGATTTTAACATTTATAAGTTAACTTTTAAAAATTACGGAATTATAAAACCTTCATTATTACCAACGGTCAACGACGCTATTTGATTCTTACCATCGTTTAACAGCTTATTCATGTAGTGGATGTAAGATTCATCGCTTAACAGCTTTATTCGTATAATGAATGTAAGGTTCATCGGTTAACAGCTGTATTCATGTAGTGAATATAGGTTTATCGTTTAACAGATTTATACATGTAGTGAATGTAAGGTTCATCGATTAACAGCTTATTTATGTAAAGTTCATTGTCTAATACCTATATTCATGTAGTTAATGTAAGGTTCATCGTTTAACAGCTTTATCCATGTAGGGAATATAAAGTTCATCGATTAACAGCTTATTCGTGCATGATATGTATAATTCATTGTTTAGCAGCTATATTCATTTAGTGAATATAAAGTTCATCGTTTAACAGCTATATTAATGTAAGATTCATCATTCAGTAGCTTTATCCACGTAGTGAATGTAAGGTTAATCTTTTAACAGCTATATTCATGTAGTGAATGTAAGGCTCATCTGCTAACAGCTTATTCGTGTAGGGCATGTAAGGTTCATCGTTTAACAACTGTATTCATGTAGTGAATGTAAGGTTCATCGGTAACACAGCTTAACAGCTTATTCATGTAGGGTATGTAAAGTTCATTGTTTAACAGGTGTATTCGTGTAGTTAATGTAAGGTTCATCGTTTAACAGCTTATTTGTGCATGGTATGTAAAATCTATTGTTTAACAGCTATATTCATGTAGTGAATATAAAGTTAATCGTATCAGCTTTATATATGTAGTGAATGTAAGTTTTATTGATTAACAGCTTATTCATGTACGGGCATGTAAAGTTCATTGTTTAATAGTTATATCCTTGTAGTGAATGTAAGGTTCATCTGTTAACATCTTATTCATGTAGGGTGTGTAAGGTTCATCGTTTAATAGCTTTTTTCATGTAGTGAATGTAAGATTCATCGTTTAACAGCTTATCATGTAGACGTAAGGTTCATTGTTTAACAGTTAATACGTGTAGTGAATGTAAGATTTATCGATTAACAGCTTATTCATGTAGGGTATATAAGGTTCATCGTTTAACAACTATATTCATGTTGTGAATGTAAGGTTCATCGGTAACATAACTTAACAGTTTATTCATGTAGTGGTTGTAAAGTTATACAATTTATGTACAGCTCATCAGTAAAAGCCCATTGTTTTTAGTAATACCCCATGTTTGAATGGTACCATTTTATTTATTTCGATGTAGCCATTAGCATTTTCTTGCATAAATAGTGTTAAACGAAAGAATAACGGAAGCAAATTAAAATTTACGTAATATCTCATACCATCTCGAAAAATATATATATTTTTATCATATTATATTCCCTCTGAAAATTTTTATAATGAAATTAGATTTCAAATAATTGTTTTTTCAAAAATTATGTTCCGTGATCTTATAGACGGCGACTCAGTTTAAATATTCTAAACTTTCCAAATTTATTAAATTTTAAATCTGTTACTTTTATTTGTCTCTTATGCAATTTTCTAATTATTAATTTTATTATTGAAAATTTCTATTTACTATTTTAATTGCAGTTTTTTAAAGAAGAACCATTTAATTTTACAACGCCGGATCGTTTTTTAACTTGTTAATTTTGTTACTACTAAATTTTAAAAATCATATGTATTTTTTCTTAACTATTTTTATGAAAGGAAAGCACCGGAATTTGAAGACGTATGCTTTATTTTATTTTAATTATCTTTTATGCTGAAAAACTTTACCAATTAATTCATTTATTCATTTTTTTCCACTTAAACCATTTCATTCTTTAACTTATTTTATTAATTTCGTTATTAATATATTTTAAAAATTATATTTACTTTCTCTTAAAAACTTGTGTAAAAACAATGGCGTTTTAAAATTTGTACTTTTATTAGTTTTAATCATATTTAATATATTAAAAGTTTTTTCAATGGAATTACATTAGTTTTAAATATTAAAATCTATATTTTCAATACAAAAGAACTTTCATAAAGAAAACTATCGACTTCTAGTTTAATTACAATTTACTCATAAATTGATATTAAAATACAATTTAAAAACCTAAGAAAGCTTGAAATATATTTTTCGTTTCCAAAATTTATCAATCCACTTTTCACATAATTACAGAAGTTCTTTTACAAAAATATCTTCTTAAAAAATCTTTAAAAATGCTGTGTGTCTTGTTAAAGTTGTTAATCTTAATTTATCTATTTATTCTTCGCAAAAAAAATCGCAAATATTTTATTTCAACTTTTATAAGCAATGTTTTGCAACAAAAATCTAATTACTTTTGAAATTAATTAAGTTTTTTACTACTACAAAAATGATGAATGATATACTTCTGTGAACGTCATCTCTCAATTTACGAACCTCATTTCATTTGTTTAATTAAAAAAGTTAAAATAATGAAAGAATTTTTGGCATGCAATTTCCTTTACTGCTTGTCGTTAAGTTTTTTATGCTGTATAATAATAGGTTTTACGGCTATATTTAGAATATATATGTTTAGTTAAATTTAATTGACTCATTTTAAATTTTTATGTGCTATGAGAATTAGAATATAGTCTCTTCAGTTATACAATAAAAGAAACTACTCTTAAAGCGTGTAAGATATATTTTCTTTATGTGACAATTCAATTATAGTTAGAGTCAAGCAAATTAAACTTAATGTCAGTTTGTTATTCAGCTTAATGTAAATTTGTGAAATCCGGCTTAGGACATTATTGGCGTCAAAATATTTTTAAGGCTTATTTCTTTTAAAATAGTTATAATTTGAAAAATTAAATTTTTTTTAAATAATTATATTTATTTAAACTCTGCAGTCATTTAAAGTGTTAAACTATTTTAACTTGTACATAAATTTTAATTGTAACGTAATATAAATTGTATAATTGTTCTCGTATGTTAATCTTTTATTGCATAATTAATCTAATATGAATTAATGATTTTATTGCATAATTAATATAATCTAATTTGACTTGTATATTAGTTTAAAATGCATTTTATCATAAATTTTATATTAGTTTAAATTACAGATTAGTTTGAATTGTTAACAAGTTTATATTGTTCTTCTTTTTAATTTGCGTTTTAACTTTAATTCCATATTTTATTATTTGCATTTTAACGACGTCTGAAATTACTCCAGCAATATTTAATTTGTAATTAAAAAATGACGATCATCCAGATTATATTTTATTATAATGCAAATAACTCTATCACTCATATTTGACTCATCCTGTCCAAGGATACACATCCAAGTGCTGTAGCATGTTTATAGAAAAAGAAATACAATATAGTGCTTTAAACAGAAAATAGTATCACCAGCGATAAAATGCCAAGTCACATAACTTTAGTCTTTTCTGGTCAATCGCTCATAACACCATGTGATTTTTTTTAAATGGGTGCAAGTTGTAAATTAGTTTTATCGCGAATTTGAATGCTCTGTTGTTCGGAGTAATATAATCAATTCTAGGTTTTCATTAAAGTCTACATTATATCATAACTATCAATAACTATAGTCGATATCATAACTATGAACTAATTTTGTGACCAACTCTGTGGAAAACAATCTTTTACATAAGCCTAATGATGCAAATAATCATGCAACAAGATTAAATGATACAATAATAACTTAATGATACAAATAACTATCACGCAAATTTGTAAGTATGTGATGGCATTGGTGAGAAAAGCTTGTGAGTCCTGTAAAGAAAAGGAATTCTCTTTGCGTGAGAAGAAACATTTCCGAAAGGAACTTAAACATTTCTGGCAAATGATGAGCTTCTAAAGTAAAAGAGAATCCTTTTTTGAATTCATATAAAACTTTTAAGCTAGAGGTAACCTTTTATAAAGCAAAAGAATCTTTTTCGAAGTCATGGTGACATTTTGGGTGAGAAGAAAAATTTTTAGGAGGTATATAAATCGTTTTTAAAGGCGTGTGTGCCTTTTTAGTGAGGAGAGAATGTTCCTTCAAACCGTGTGAAACTACTATGCTCGAGAGAAACCTTATTGATTGAAAACTTGAATAACAGTTTAATGCAACTGTTATGGTCAATGACGGTCAAATGGAAAGTTATCGAAATACATTACCATACCTGCCATCTTGTTCTGATTTATTGGAACATTTTAATTTGAATATTAAGGTAAATTTTTCAATTTAACATTTTATAATTGATTCAATAAATTAAAAAAAAACGAATTTTTCCACCACTACATGCAAACAACCTGAACGTGAAATAAATGATCTCAAGAAACTGACGCAATAGTCGATGTGTTTCAAGCTCTCAAAGAAAGGCGCTCATTTTCAAGACTTACCAGACGTGAATGAGAAGAAGCAAAATTGATTTGAAATATAAAGTGTAAAGTTTACCAACGAAAAATAAGAACAAAATAAAGATGAATAAAACTAGAAAAACCACAGTAGCCGTGTGAGAAAAAAGATGGAAAAAAATCCGTGAGGAATATATATATAACATATTAATCGTGTAAAGAAGTGTTTATGGACGGGTTTATCCACGGTGCATGACTTGTGATTTTTGTGCTATCCTGATGAAAAAAAATTATCGTCAAATAAATAATTTCAATTTCTTTTTTTTACATTGTTAGGAATTTTGGTACATGTTGAACCATAATATTGTTCAAAGTTATTGCAACCTCGTATTTGAGCAAACGTGAACTATATTATCAATTTTCTTAAATTGATTGCCCAATAGTACTGTTCAACTTGGACGGAGATATGTTCAATTTAACTTACTGAATTCTAGTAAAATGTTCTCCATATTAGGGTTCATGGTATCAGTATTATGATTCAATGTTGCTCTGATCTTTCGGAGAGTCTGTTAATACAGAAGTAACTTTTTGTTCTCAAAAAAGTATGTTCCATTTGCCACTTGTCAACCTTTCTTATTTCTTATATCCTTCCAAAATAATTCTATTGACTGAACTCTTCTGGAAATTTCTGTCGACAGTTGAAAGATATATATTTCCTACGAGTAAATTTTTATTTCACTAGAAGAAATTTCATGGCTCCTAACATCATCACTAGAACATTTCTGAGAAAAGAGTTTTTCGAAATTAAATTTAATACTAGAGAGAAAATAAAAATGCTATTAAGTTCTTTTAAGACCACACAATTCTTCAAGAAAAAAGTGCTAGAAAGTTTCTTGTACTTTCAAGTTCTCAAAAAAATTAATAATAATAATTTGGTATAAGCAAAATCAATTCCTTAAACTTCATCATCACCTAGGAGATTGAGGGGGAAAAATCAATTTCCTTTCGGGATCCTTAATACAAAATATATGACATCATACTACGCTTTTCTCCCTATAATTTCACTGATTTAGTCAAAAAGAAAGATATTGGTTTTTACAAAGTTAAAATTTGTTTTCTACATATTGATTTTCGGCTGTATCTCGAAGATTAAATAAGCGCTAAATTAGAGAGAGAGATCACCATATTTTATTAAAAACTAAATTTCCTCAGCAAAAAAAAAGCTTCCTTTTTTTTAAAGTGCAATGCAAAAAATAACTGCTCCTGGATGTGACAATCAACCTGCATATATAATCAAAGCAAGACTGGGGAAAATCTAATAATCTCTGTCCTCAGATATTTTTCTTTTAGGATTTCCGAGAGAAGTAGGGAAAAAATTAGTCTGCGAAGGGAAAATTAGCTTAAGTGCCTGATGCAGTAGCTCTGCTAAGTCTAATAACAGATTAGGTCTCTAATTAAATTGCCTACCGGCATAAAAATAGTCCCCTTTCACCAAAGCTGCTTTTACTAAAATGCTTGGCATAAAGTTTAATGAAAAAATTAGTCCTTCCAGGTCCGTATGAAATCAATTTGAGCAGTGCAAAACGATTTTCTTAAAGAACTTTTATTTAATTTGTTACTTACAACTTACTGTCAAGACTCTTAATTACCTACAAGAGTGTATACATGTATATTTGTAGAATGGTATGCATTAAGTTGTGTTCTGTAAAAGTTTTGGCTTTTTTTAGGTGGGGGGGGGGGGTTCAGAACATTTGGAAACTAAGAGGGAAAAATTAAAAGGCGAAGTGTGTTTATAGTTTATGCGAAGGTTTAAGATGCTTAAATTCATTATATGGTTTTTCCTACAAAAAGTGGACACATTGTTATAGATGGACAAAAAAAACTGGACACATTGTTATACGTTGCTATTTTTAAAAAACATTTCAAACATTTTAACAACGTTTCGAAATTACAATTACATTGAAAACTAAACTTGGGACAAAACAGGATCTGTATTGGAACAATGTCATGGGTAACAAAATCAATTATAAATATCTTTTTCATTGTTTTGTTATTTTTTGTTGATGTGAAGGAGTGACTGAAACATTTTGTCCCACCCATTGAAAAAGCAACAAATTAAGTGTTAACTGTTGTTTATCATCATGATATTGTAATACTGTGCCCGACATAAAAGACAAGTAATTTCTTGATACAATTTTCAGAAGCAACTGAACTTCTTGGTGGACGTTTTTATGTGAAACTAATTGGCATTTGTGTACCATATACAAGCGTATGAACTACCTTGCCCTTTTTAAATCCTGCTCTGAAGTAGTACCAAACAAAATCTTTCCCAACTTTTTTAAAACAAAATATTACATTTCATTAAATGCCTACAAACTAACATTTCTGGAACGTATAAAATAAATTTAACGAAAGGTTCCAAAAATATCCCCGTAAGCTACTGGTAACATGTGATCGACGGTTTGACGATCACTGATAAAAGAGGAAAAAACCACAAAACCTCTCCACTGTATACTTGACAGAAATGGCTTGTAACTTAATCGGCTATAACTATGATTGGAATTCAAATTTAAGTAACCAGTGTCAAAAGCTCTCTGCACCATTCACTCCTACATAAATTCTTTTAAATTATTTGCTTAAAATGTCCAACTTTAAAGCATCATTAGAAACATTTTGAACCCCTCTTAATCTTTAATCTTTTTTTTAAAAAAATTGACCATCTATATAATGTCCAGATGGTGCCTAACATATGCATTGTATCAAAATTCCACTTAAAAAGCTTTATTACTCTTTTAAGCAATATACCCTGGTTTATGGCATTATATATCATACTTTTTTCTTTATTTGGAGCACTTTATTTAAAGTTTACATAATATATTTTAGGGCTCCGCTATGTCATTCCAAATCACCTCTCTTCCAAGTACACATCCTCTTCTTGTTCTCATCAATCCAAAAAGTGGTGGGAGACAAGGAATGAGGTAAAGTAAATTTTAAATCTTATTGGTTCTTTACTACAAATCTTACTGGGTCAAGTAATATATATATATATATATATATATGCGTATATATTCTNAAAAAAAACACATTTTATTATATATACTCTCAATCAAATCATACTGATCATGTAGTATTATACATCAATATCATACATAGTAGTACACTTCAAATTTTAAAGGTTCACTGATAGCGGCTTTATGAAGCATTGGAAGCAGTAGAAAGTTTCAAACATTCTCAGAAACTACTCTATTTAGTCTGTAAAACATAATATTTTCTTAAACATTCCTAAAACGTTGCGAACCACTTATTGCAACACTAGTCTGAACCGTTCCTTTATGTTTCTTAAACTTCATATAATATCTTATCTTAAGAATGTTTCGTTTATTTTTTAGCATTCTCAGATTACATCACAAAAATCTGTATTTGAAAGCATTCATAAGTTATGTTACCTTTGAGGGAAATTACAAATGTTAAAGAAACATAAATGCAACTCTTTTTGCAATGTACGCGACCATGTGTTATAAACACTTTCAAACTTCTGCAACGCAATACCAATGTATTAAGCGAACAAATTCATAACATAAACTACCAAAAACATAAGTCTATAACGAAAAATGTTTAAAAAAATTTTAAAAATTCATGATAAAAAATTGCTTTTGTATGTTTAAACCATTTATGTTGTTTAAACAGGTTAATGGTGATAAATAAAAATTGAAAGTAAATATTATTCGTTAAACCTCAGATCTTAAACAAATAAACTTTTATTTCATCAGAATTATTAATGTTTTTATATTACTTTTTTTCAATATACTATATGATATTCTGATCACCTTACATTTAAATCATAAAATTTAAAATGCGTTTGAAAATTAATAATTTTTCTTTAATATATTTACCCGATAAATTACTTTGAAACAAATAAACAGTAAAAAAACTTCCTTAAAATAATGTAAACAGTTAATATTTTTCTTTCTAAAAAAATAAGAAGGTGTATCATTATTTCCAAGCATTATGTTTGTTTTTAATCACTTATCCTGAAATGGGAAAAACTTAATTTTATTTCAAAAAATATTCCAAATATTTCTATTGTTCAGAACTAATAAAAAAACTAGTCATCTTAATTCCCTCAGTTGATTTAAAAAGATACGATTAAAAATAAAAAAAATTCATTAATTATATTTCCTTAATTAAATTTTTTATGCATAAACTTTTTTCTATTTCACAAATTTTACGAAATCTTCATTTTTTAATGAAGTAATAGAAGGTTTCTAAAATAAAGAATACACTTGTTACTGTATTTCAAATTGCTTTCATTAATTTATATTATAATCCTTTTTCTTAAAAGGAAACTTTTTCAAGAAGTTATTTATTGTAAATTTTAAACTTTTGTTTCCTTTTTTATTTACTTGAAAATGAATGAAATTATTTTTAAATTACTTAATAAATTACAAATACTTTATTTTTTTAAATTACAATAAATTTAAATCAATATCTTTCTTTTTTCTTGTAGCTTTTTTCATTAATTGTACCTTAAATTTAATTTTAAATAACTGTGAGTTTTATTTAAGGTTCGCATGTCTTACGTATATTAACAATAAATTTAAAAACTATTTCATAACTGTTTAAAAAAATAATATTAATTTTATAACTGTAAAGTTAACTATTTACTTTTTAATAGATAATTTGCTCTGTCAAATGCATATTGATCTTCATTTTAACGCTGCTTCTTAAAAATCACTGAATTATTTTAAATGCTATTTATGAAGATTACTTTCAAACAAAACAAATATTATTTTTTTTAATTTTTAAGCTTTGCAACTGATTTTTTTTTACTCAGGAAATTTTTTTGTCATCTTAATTGAGAGAACATTTTTATATCTTTGATATAACATGATAATAATGCATCTAAAAATGACTGAAAAATCATATCATAATAATTATTTAAAATAAGGTCTCTTAAAATGTTCAATGAACGTTTTGAAATTTTTGATTAATGTCATTCAATAATGAATTCCATTAGTTAAATTGCAGTGGTGATATTATTGATATTTTTTAAGCCCAATTTGTTTGTTGACTTGAAAACAAAGCGCATTTTCTGACTAAGACAAACTATTCAATTAAAAGTATTAATGAATGCATTTTATTTTTAAAACAATTGAATTAACAGCATTTGATTAAAATGTAAAACATTTCGTAGTAAAGAATTCCGCTTTAATCTAAAAAATAATAATAATAAATTAAATGTTTTGTCCAATCTAATTTGCGTACAAATCTTGATTCTTAAAATCTGCCGAATAACGGTTAAATGATACGAATATCTAGTAAATATAAATCTTTCTCAACTAATTAACAAATAAAATAGATATTTTTATAAGATTCTACTGATACTTTTAAAGAAGCATTTAAAGATATTTAAATTTTTAAAAAACAAAACGAACAATTATATTTAACTCAAGCTGAATCGGTTAGAAAGCGTTGTATTAAGAAAGAATGATTAAATCTTAAATAAACTAAGCATTTAATCCTTTTGATAAAGAGTTAGATAAAATCAGCTTTTCATTACTTACAAATTGTGGCTTTAGAATAATTTATCACCCTTTAAATGTCACATTTTTTCTTTTATTCATAGAATTAAAGTTGAAAAATAGAGAATGACTTCAAAAATGCATGATTTATATGATCGTTTGCATAAAAAATAGTGTTTATTTTCTTACTCTGAAATATTTAAAATATTATTTATATAAAAAACAGTATCAACAATTTTTCTAAAACATTTTTCTATTTATATAAAAAATAATTTCATAAAATAATTATGTAGCAAATAATTAATAGGAATCTTAAATTTCTCTTGATTTGCAGTAACGTGAAATAATTTTTTTCTTCAAAATACCGCTGTTCTTTCGTGAAAATGATAGAATTTCTAAAAGTTTATAGAAGTAATGTTCAGGAACATCAAATATAAAATTAAAAAAGCTGCTATTTTTCCCAATTTAATATTTTACATAAGAAGAAACATTTCCTAAAATTATAGTCACGAACGTCAACTGTTTAAAAACCTTAACACGAAGAAATGTCTCCAATACTTAAAAAAAAACACATTTTATACTACACAAATGATACATTTTATTAATTCATATTCATGAATGTCAAATATTTTTTTTGAAAAAAACCATTTTTTTAATTAATGGTTATGAATGTTAAATATTTTCTTTGAAATTACACTTTCTTAACTAATGTTCATGACCATAAAATATTTTTTTTGAAAATACATTTTCTTAATGTTTCAAAACGTCAAATATTTTTTTTTTTAAAAACCCGTAACATTTTCTATGATTTATTAGGATAAGATACAATTCCTTATGTGTTACAACCAACTGTAGATATTTATAGATTTTTACATTTTCAGTACAATGATTAAACAATCCAAAGTAAACATGCAGTGTGAATATTTCTCCAAATTATTTATCAAACAAATTCCCAGACTTAATATTACTTTTAAATATTGTTCATGAATGTTAAATATTTTTTTGAAATTTCACTTTCTTAATTAATGTTCATGACCGTCAAATATTTTTTTGAACATACATTTTCTTAATGTTCGTAAACGTCAAATATTTAAAAAAAGAAGTTTAACATTTTCCATGATTTATTAGGCTAAGATACAATTCCTTATGTGTTACAACCAACTATAGATATTTATAGATTTTTACATTTTCAGTACAATGATTAAACAATCCAAAGTAAACATGCAGTGTGAATATTTCTCCAAATTATTTATCAAACAAATTCCCAGGCTTAATATTACTTTTAAATATTGTTCATGAATGTTAAATATTTTTTTGAAATTTCACTTTCTTAATTAATGTTCATGACCGTCAAATATTTTTTTGAACATACATTTTCTTAATGTTCGTAAACGTCAAATATTTAAAAAAAGAAGTTTAACATTTTCCATGATTTATTAGGCTAAGATACAATTCCTTATGTGTTACAACCAACTATAGATATTTATAGATTTTTACATTTTCAGTACAATGATTAAACAATCCAAAGTAAACATGCAGTGTGAATATTTCTCCAAATTATTTATCAAACAAATTCCCAGGCTTAATATTACTTTTAAATATTGTTCATGAATGTTAAATATTTTTTTGAAATTTCACTTTCTTAATTAATGTTCATGACCGTCAAATATTTTTTTGAACATACATTTTCTTAATGTTCGTAAACGTCAAATATTTAAAAAAAGAAGTTTAACATTTTCCATGATTTATTAGGCTAAGATACAATTCCTTATGTGTTACAACCAACTATAGATATTTATAGATTTTTACATTTTCAGTACAATGATTAAACAATCCAAAGTAAACATGCAGTGTGAATATTTCTCCAAATTATTTATCAAACAAATTCCCAGGCTTAATATTACTTTTAAATATTGTTCATGAATGTTAAATATTTTTTTGAAATTTCACTTTCTTAATTAATGTTCATGACCGTCAAATATTTTTTTGAACATACATTTTCTTAATGTTCGTAAACGTCAAATATTTAAAAAAAGAAGTTTAACATTTTCCATGATTTATTAGGCTAAGATACAATTCCTTATGTGTTACAACCAACTATAGATATTTATAGATTTTTACATTTTCAGTACAATGATTAAACAATCCAAAGTAAACATGCAGTGTGAATATTTCTCCAAATTATTTATCAAACAAATTCCCAGGCTTAATATTACTTTTAAATATTGTTCATGAATGTTAAATATTTTTTTGAAATTTCACTTTCTTAATTAATGTTCATGACCGTCAAATATTTTTTTGAACATACATTTTCTTAATGTTCGTAAACGTCAAATATTTAAAAAAAGAAGTTTAACATTTTCCATGATTTATTAGGCTAAGATACAATTCCTTATGTGTTACAACCAACTATAGATATTTATAGATTTTTACATTTTCAGTACAATGATTAAACAATCCAAAGTAAACATGCAGTGTGAATATTTCTCCAAATTATTTATCAAACAAATTCCCAGGCTTAATATTACTTTTAAATATTGTTCATGAATGTTAAATATTTTTTTGAAATTTCACTTTCTTAATTAATGTTCATGACCGTCAAATATTTTTTTGAACATACATTTTCTTAATGTTCGTAAANTGTGCATTTGCAATGTACCTAAGTTAGTAGTGAGCAAAGCAACCTTGGTTTTCGAAGCAAACCATATAAGATTGCGTAGCAATTTTCGGGGGTTGGCGAGCGTTAGCGATCAGGGGGCGTTAGTTTTAAAAAAAGTTTTTAAAAAAAATCTATTTCTTTGGTCTTAGAACACATTTCAATATGTAATATTTTCAGTTGTTGATTTTTTATCTAAACGTCAATTTTGTGACAAATTTTCTTAAATTTTAAACGTTAGTTTCCTAAAGTCAAAACATCCGAATTTAGCAACTGAGGAGTTAAGCTATTTCAAAAGCATGGGTAACGCAGGGATCCAGATTTTGAGGATGACGGCATTAAAATACACAGAAAATTTTCCTTCTTTGGCTGAAATATTGAGAGGTATTTTTTGAGATTTCTTATTGAGTGGAACCAACGCCCATTTCTTATTGAGTGGAACCAACAACATATAGCGCTATAAGTGGAACCAACGCCCATTTCTTATTGAGTGGAACCAACGCGTATCCACACCAACGCCCATGTAAAAAAGTAGACGAGGATACAAATAAAAATAACACAATATTTTTAGATATTATTTGGTGAACCAAAACATAAGCAAAATAAGATTCATTAATTACCAAAACACAATTTGTTTTGTAAATTTCTTTGAGCTTTATAAACATCCAAATTATATATAAAATTTGAATTTAAATACTGTTATATTAAGCGTGGCTACTTATCATAGAGAAGAGATGTCCAAGTCAGAGGCTGAACTACATCCTTGAGTTTAATAAATCAATCAATTATCGTAAATTTTGTGGTTGTGAATAGCAACTAGTATGTATATAATGTGTCAAAAACTGAAAGAACTGTACACGATCGGTATGTCAAATCTAAAATTGGAAATTTTAAAAACACCTCGTTCTGATCGTCAAGTTCAGTAGTTAGATAAAGAGCGTTTAAGCCGAATTCTGCAAAAAATTCGTAAAACGATTGGGGACCTGGCAGAGAAAACAGAATGCTCTGAGACTATGAATTCAATGTTACTTCCATACACATCTATTTCACGAAGTTGAAAATTTGGTTAACTCTGCAAATGAGTAATAATCAAATTAAGGGTGTAACATTATACTTACTAAAAGAGTCAGTTATTTATTAAGCGAGTATCGATTAGTCTCGTTAAAAAAATTATCTGCAAAACTGTTACATTTTTACCCAATTTTTTTTTATATTACTGTGCCATGAAATAAAATTTAACCTTCATTCATGTTAATGCATTAAAAAATATTTGTGATTTAGTGGAGTATGATATTTATGAATTAATTCATATTTAATACCGTTTTGTTTGTTCAATTTTATGTTTTCATTCATATTTGAATTAATGTTTTAATTGTTTAATGTTTTTCACAATAAATTAATTATTTTCCTGTGATATATTATTTTATTTCAGGCTGCAAATGTACAAAGATGTGCAAAATTTCAGGGTTCTTTGCTGTGGTGGAGATGGAACTGTCGGTTGGGTGTTAGATACAATAGGTAAATTAAATTAAAATTTTTAATTTTTCTTTCTTATTTAGTTTAATTAATAAATTAAACTAAAATTAAAACTTAGCATTAAAACCTGTTATTTTCTAGAACTTATATAAACTTCGCATTTAAATTTTCATAAAAATTGTGATAAAATTTTTTTATGAATCTTACAATTATCAAAATTTTCCTGCTGCACAGTTCTTTGATAATAATTCTTATTATGCCCAAAAAATAACTCATAAAATTAAAAAGTGTTCGGTGACATTATTTATGCAGTCGTGTTCTCAATGCGATACCTGCAAGTAACGTAGTGTGGGTATCTCGATTCTGATTGGTTGTTGAAACGTGGCATTTGTTTACGTTAGCAACTGTTCTTTCCATTCTATTCCGGGTAAGCCAAGCTCGTCAAGTATTATTTCTCTTAAGTCTAAATTCTTTCACAAAGATTCTTTCTCAGAGAATTCAATTCTTTCACTATATATTTACACAAAGACAGGTATGAAGCCATGTAAAATCTAAGCAAACTGATTATGCATCGAAGTTGCCAGGTACACAAAATTAAAATATATCACGGTTACAATGAAATACATAAACAAATAATAAATCTGAAGTTAATTAAATGAAGTAGACGAGAAAGAATTATATTTTAACTCATTCGATGTGCGATACGGTTTTGCATTTAAGTTATCGTTAAATAACATTCTAACTTATGTAGAAAAACTTAGATCAGCTTTAATACGCCATTTTGCAGATGAAGAATAGCTGACGTCACATGCGTGGGTAAGCGAGGTCTTCTTGAAGTGAATCCAATGAAAGCATTTTTTCAACATCGATGTCGTCTTAATATAGAAGCTTTTTAGCGTATTTTTTCGAAGATTTTGTAACTTTATAACAATAACTTTAACTCAAGACTGGAAGGTTAAGTTTGACCTTCTTTAGCCACAATTTTCTCTAATAAGCAAAATGACGGAAAATGTCTTTCTGCTGGAAAAGCAACGCATTAGAGAAAACTAAAATCACTTGTATCTAACATTTTAATATGAAAAAATTACTCTAACCCTGCATCATTTGGACTCTTAAAATGTATAAAAACTTCGAATTATTATTTGATTATACTGATTTACATTTCAGAGGGAAAGTTCTCGCCAAATGAACAATTCTTTTCTTACAAAATTAATATATTTTTTTAAAAAAATATTCGAGGTAATCCGTTTAAGTCCAATAAATCAAGTATACTCCTATAAAATTGTAGTTGTTGAACTACAATGTAGGAATCGCAGTAATTTTTTAATGAGAAAAAAATATGTTGATAAAATATTGATAATACTTTATAGCTGTGCCATGCGGACGTGACATGAACTAGCTAACATGATGGATGGTCCGCATTAAACAGTTGATTTGCTTAATATTAAGTGCTCAAAGAAAAGAAAAAAGATCCGGTGAAGTAAATAAAGTCTCTCGGTAATAAACAATATAGAAAAAAAAAATGAGCAAAATGCTATAAACGAAAAATGAAGGAAGAAAATTTAGCTATAAACAAAAAAATGAAGAAAAAGTATAATGAGCAAAAATTTTATAAATAAATAAACAGCATGAATCAACTAGTGGTATCCGTTCATCGAATTCTACCCCAGATATAATTCTGGAAGGGGAGTAATGTGGCGTAACTACCACTACAAATATTAAATACCGAATCACCAATGTATAAGACATGTTAACTTAATTCTATCATGAGGCACCTTCTGATAGATAAAGGTTGACATAGTTGATTTATAATTCCCCACAACAGTTCCGTTAATTTCTTTTCATAAAGAATTTTAAAAAAAGGAAAATGATCTTTATTTATTTATTTAAAATTTCTAAATTAAATTTTCTGAAATACCACTTGAATTTATTTTCATATTTCTATAATTTCGATTCATTTTTATTATGTCATTTGCGGCATCATTCAAATCAAATGAACAAACAGCTGCATATATAAAATAGCAATATTTTGTTACATGTTTCATACTCTCTATTGCCATCAAATGTAAATAATATGAATCCTTTATTTCAGACAAAATGAATTTCGCTAGCCCGCCTCCTCTTGCCATTTTGCCCTTGGGAACTGGTAATGATCTAGCCAGATGCTTAGGCTGGGGTCCAGGTATGTACCAATTCAACATGTTTTTTACCCAAAAACTATTCTCAAAAAAATCTCTACTTTCACAAGAAGACAATCTCCTACTGCATTATCCCAATCAATAATTCTTTCTTCCTGTTATTCAGACTAATGTAGTAAATTTAGGAAAGGGAAGAAAAGAAATTCCACATTCCTATTCCTTCAAAGTACTCAAATATGTCTTTAGGGAAGAAAAAAAATAGGCTGGAACAGGCTGTGTAAACAGATGGATGTAACAAAGATAACGAAAAGGGGAAGTAAAATATTTGTAGAAGTCATTCCATACGAATCATTTGATTGTTAAAACAAGCAGTAGCTTTTTTTCTTTTCTTTTTGTAAAGAGAACGCGTAGATAAACGTGAATTGACGTTCATGATTTACAACAATTCTGCTTTAAAAAAAAGTGAGAATTTTTATTATCACGTCACACTTCAGAAACGTCTGCTAATAATAATTAAATAAAATTTAGAAAACTATTCCAAAAGTGTGTCAGTTATCAAATCGTTTGAGTTTTTAAGGAATTATTTCTTACATACAAATTTTAATGAATGACTTACTTTAAAACAATATTTGCGTATTAAACTTAGTTGAAGAAATCTATCGTTGAGTAAATTTTTTCGATTGAGGAAATTATTTGCTAATTGAAACTAGCAAGCATTCTTTTTTTTTTATTTTGTAATGAGAACATACACTTAAACTTGATTGATTTGCGCCTAATATTTTTCAAAAAAGTTTACATATTTTTACTGTCACGTTAGAATTGTTCTGCTGTGAAATTTTTCTTTTATTTATAAAGAGAACATACACCTAAACTTGAACTGATGTTAATGATTTACGCCAAATATTTTATACACAAAGAAATATATAAAGAGTTCCAACTCTAACGTCAGAGCATGTAAAAAGTCAACGTGTTTTTTATTGATGAGTGCCAAAATGGCAATTGTCTGGCCCAAATTGTTTTAGCTCCACTCAATGGTATCTGTTAGATTGATAATTTAATAAGTTTATCGTTATTTTTTATTAATTTTAATTCAATTTATAAAATTTTCCAATCGTTTGGTCATTTGTTTTTTTATTAATCAATTTCTTTATTAGGATGCAATTTCTTTATTAGCAATGAATTGCTTTGATGATAATTCGTTAAAACTGTTGTTTGTTAATTAAGACAAAAATACATTTTACAAAGTAAATTACGATTTCATTTAAATATTTCAATTTCTTGTCATTTTTCTTGTTCTTAGTATCTATTTCAGTGTTGAATTTAATTCGTACCAACATGGGTGAAATGCACTATTAACAAAACAAATGGAAACGATGGAAGAATAAATACAGAAAATAAACTTCCTTTTAAACAAATGGAAGATTTCTTCTAACTCTTTTATGGAAGAATTCTCTAATTCTTCTATTCTTCCTTTTAAACAAATGGAAGAATAAATACAGAAAAACGTTATTAATGTAGATTTTTTTCTTCTCTCTGATTATCGTAAAATTTATTATATGAAAGAGTATTAATACACCGGGCTAAATAATTTTCTTGTATTATAAATCTAAAATGTAAAATAAAAAATTCGGAGTTGATTAAAAAATGTTATGCAACATTAATTCAAGCAATTTAATCTTAATTTTGATTGAAATAAAGTCTAAAAACTAAATTTTAAAACAACAAATCACGAATAATTATTATTTATTTATAACACAAATATAAGCGTACAGAAGTAAATAAAAAATATGAAAAAGAAACTACATAATATTCCATAGAGTGTCAACTATTCACCTCTGCTGAATCAACTAACCGTTTTCATTAAGCGTTGCTATAGGGTTCTGTAGGCAGTTGGGACAAGAGAAACGCGTTGTGATGACCTCAGAGTGGATCGTTATAAAGTATTATAGATCGTGATTTTTTTTAAAAGGTATAATTATTTTTATCGTCAGTTAAAAATTGTTCTGCTTATAGCTCTTAAAGTTTATATTTAGAATTTAGGAAACTATTCCAAAAGTTAATTAGTACGGAATTATTTTTACAAAATGATTTTTTCAAAACGATTTCTGCCTTTCTAACCGTTTTACAGAAACAATTTGCTGCTTAGTTTTTTAAAAGAATTGTTTTAATTTATATGTCAAAAATTAAAAACGATAACTCAGTGAAAGTTTGATATTGCATATTTGGACAATGTAACTTCCTACTTTTTTTAAAATTTCAGAAATTTCGATTATATATATATTCGATTCGAAAATAAAATATACGATTTCTTAAGAAATAGAAATATTCTTTTCTTTTTTTATTAATGCTTGCGCAAATGTAATTTTTTAAGAAAATAATTCATATTTTTTTTATTGAAACACAATATTTTTAATTATATCAAATTTTAAAAGCACCATTTTTTAAAAATTTTGTAAACTTATTAAATTGAACAAGTATACCAAAAAAATGAGTTTTAAGAATTTTTTTTAAAAAAAAATTAAAAATATGTCCCCGACGCCCTTAAAGAAATATTTTTCTGCGAATCAGCATTAAAAAAAATAATAAAGGTACCTAAAATGTTTATTTGTTATATTAGTAGTATATTTTCATCTGTATCTTAGTCTTACAGTCAAGAAAAGGCGTCAGACTTTTGTTATAATTGAATACTCTAAAAATTTAATTATTTAATGCATTTAATTCATTTTTCAATTATTTTAATGTAGTAATTAGATTTCTTTAATGCTCTATTCCTACGTATCTTTTTCTGCCTAAAAATAAATATAACTTGTAATATTGTAATATTTAATTGATTTATTAAAGTATTGTTATGGTAAAAGAAAGCATTATTTCAAATTCATTTTGTTTTGTTGTGTATTTCATCTCTGTAGCAATTTTAAGCAATAACGATTTTTCCTAATAGTAACCTATCTTACCAAAAGCAAACGCTTTATTCCTTAAGACATAGAGATTGTTTTCAAATCTGTAGCAAAATCGTATCTAAAACTTTTTATGGTATATTTTTAATGAAAGCTTCTATAATTCGCAAAAGTATTACACAACAATTTTAAATCACAAACATTTTTCACGAATGTCCAATTACACTCAAAAAAGTTGCCTGTAGCTATATCTGGAGTGCATTATTTTGTTTATGCAGGTTATGAAAATGAAAGTCTTCCTAAAATTCTAAAGAAATTAGAAAAATCCGTTCCATGTCCTATGGACAGGTGGAAAATTGAAATTAGTTCTTGCGGAAGTACTGAAGAGAAAGGAGATCCCATACCGTGCACCATTTTCAATAATTACTTTTCCATTGGTGTGGTAAGTGTGATGCTCTTCAATCTTTAAATTATCACGATTATTGTTAAAACAATTGCACCGAGCAATTTTCAATAAGTATTTCGTAATGTTAGTGTAATAATACTTTGATTATTATTTGATATTATTATTTTTTGATTCTTAGTTTATACTATTAATTTTCTGATTGCTTTTTTATATTACTTTTTGCATGATTATAATTTGATATCATTATTTCATAATTACTTAATACCCTTATGATTATGGTAATTGCTTAATATTGTAAGTACGAATATTAATCTGATATTATTTTTTTTAATTCTTACTATCATTGTAGAATCAAAAGTGAACAATTATTTTATAATTTAACTCAATAAATACTTCAATAGAGTTATATTTACCATATTATTTTTTATGCAAAATTATTTATCAATACTTAATGATTTTAAAATTTATTTTAAAAATTTATTCAAAAAACTGAAAAATTTTTAAATATGATCTACATATTTTTTTAATTAATGAAATATACTTTTATAAACTTACGTGTCTGTACAGTATGTTTTAAAGTTCAGTTAAATATTTTTATTTTTTAGTTTGTAAAGATATAGTTCTTGTTTACTACTTTTAGTTGTCAATCAGTTATATACACAAACGTATATTACTAAATTGTTTATGAACTTCAAATCTTTTATTTTATTTATGCAACTGTTTTTGGCTCTGAATTGTTTCGGTATCTGTAAACTTTTTTCTCTCATCTAAGTTCAGTGTAATTTTTTCATAATTTGAAAAATATAAGTTTGCTTAATTTACTCCCAGAATTTTTTTATTTTTAACAAATGAAAGTATGTTTTAGAAGCAAAACTTTCAATTTAACAATTTTAAAGTCATCATGGTGAGCATTTGTTTCTTAAGTTTTAAAAATCAATGTTGCCAAATCAACTTTTCATTATATGTTACAGGATGCGTCTATAGCAATTAAGTTTCATTCAGAAAGAGAAAAGCATCCTGAGAAATTTAACAGTCGGTAAGTATAATAAATATTAAATTATTTTTAATTTTTGTTTGACTTCTTTAATTTAATGCACTACCTTTGTGCAGTATGTAGTTTTCCGTGGGTAAACCAGTATTTTTTAAATATTTAAATATCTATTACAACTTTAAGCTCTTGTCTGAATAAGATTAATGCCTCGTTCTTTTTTGGATATATTTCTAATCCTCTCTGAATAAACAGAATAATTTAAATGGATAAAAGTTTTCTTTTAACGTTCCGTAATGGAGAAAAAAATTTCTCTAACGTTTATAATTAGATAAAACGTTCACTCTAGCGCTCACTTTTTCGTCTATGTAACCCTAAATGAACAACTCCCAGCATTATAAAAAAAAGTTCATCAGGTGCTGTGAATATACTAATCAGAAAACAAAAAGAAAACATTGTTTGCTCTGAAAATATTTAATGTGAAGTATGAAATTACGAATTTATTCTAGGTGCATAATATGATGAAAATGAATAAAATACGCTAAATTACGGTTTTCATAAACAAATTGTTCTAAACTTTGAGAATAGTTATCAGAGAAATGTAATTCTTCATTATTGAATATAGTTATTTTATTTTGAATTTAAAAGCTCAAAGAGAAATACTTACTGATTTTTTTTTATAAATACATGTTCTTTTCATAGAATATTCAGTATACTGTTAGTGATATATTTCAATATTCAATATATTTTGCTTCTTTTTTTTCATTGGCATTTTACATAAATTCATATAAACAACCAAAATATTAAGTTTATTATAGATTAATGATTGGATGGAAATATAATTATAGTTAATCATAAAGAATCCTAACTTTCGGAACCCCTGTAATTGTCCACTGAACACTCATAGGGAATCGCTGTGCTTTGATGTTTATTCATGGATAAAATGTTCACTCTAGCGCTCTTTGGGCAAAATTTCTAATCAAACATTATTGGATAAAACTCAATTTAACATTAAAAGTATAAATATATGCCTTTTTTCTCTTTTTTAACATTTGACATTTCGCACTTCTACTAGACTGCTTTGTTAGGTTATTTCTTGTTAATGAGCAGATTTTATCACTGTTATTTAATAAGAATATAATACATGTAGCTAAAACATTCAGTACGAAATTGCCCTGTGGGTAACCTTTCGGAAGATTAAGTAAAGGTATACCGCAGCTGGCAGTTAATAAAAAGGTTTTTTTCACCTATGTGAGTCTAATGTAAGAGGAGATGAAGTTAAGATATCGTCATTCATTAACTGTCGTCGTTTAATATTTTTATGAATTGCTTATCTTGCAATCATCGTTACCAGGAATGCTTTTTAAATAGCTAGTGAATGAAGGAAAAAATATTGATGGAATAAAGAAATGGAATTTGAAAATTGGTACATAAATGAATCCATAAATCGTAGTAAAATGAAACCAGTGTAAATTGATCACGTGTTGCCTGGTGTGCACTGCTTTGGTGCACTGATTGGTGTATATTGTTCTCTTAGAGAGATGAATCGTTTTTTCAATCTATTCTTACATTATGTCATTCCTATAAAAATCATATTATGCTTGTGTGTATCATATTATTCATACAATTCTTATGTATCCACCAATCAAAGGGCAAAACTTTTTCACGTGACTTTAAAATTTTATTTATCAAATATTTCATTAATCTTAACAAATGAGATTTGGAACCAGAATAAGTTAGATACGTAAATTTAAAAATATACTGATTTGTTTTAGCTAATTATTTATTATAAAAAGTATACGAAAAACATATATACTGTTAGAATAATTACAATTTTAACCATTTCTATGGCATGAAATTTAATTTTTTTTTCTTAACTATTAGTTACAAAAACTCTCGATAGTTTTTCCATACGGTTCAAAATCGATTAGAATAACTTTGAAGTCTATTTTACCAATTCAGTCGAAGGCTAATACTATAAAATATAGCATAGAAAATATCCTTTTTCTGCTCTACTTATTAAAGGTTTTGAAGAGCCAGATAATGAAACTCCAGAAATGAATTTGACTGATCTCACTGGTCAACATAAAAAACAAGTATGTGGTTAGATAGCAAAGATTTTGCTCTCTTTTTATAACACAAGAAACTCATTTCTTGACAATAAAGATCAACTTACAAGGGTGGTGAATTTACAAAATTTGTCAACTTAACTGTTTTCACTGTATTAATAAATGTGTGCATTATTATATTGATAATTTATGATACGTGAATGGACAAATCCATTTGTGAATGAATAAAAATTATTATAAACCTATAGTATATGGAAGGGTAGTCAGCAAAAATATAACTAAATTCATGGCATTAGCAAATAGAATCACAAATCTGCAACCACTAAAAATTAATAAATATGAGTTTGAACAAGTGACTCAATTTAAATATTTAGGTACTATAGTAAGCAATAATAATGACATAAAAATTGAAATCAAAAATAGAATCAACATGGCGAACCGATGCTATCATGGATTGAGAAACCAGTTCAAATCTAAATACATAAATTGTGAAACAAAAATACAGTTCTACAAGACACTAGTAGGGCCAGTAGTTTTATAGGGCAGCGAATTTTGAGCAATTAGCAAAGCAGACGAAAAGAAACGGATAGCTTTCGAGACACAAATGTTAACAAAATTTTTTGGTGCAGTTAGAGAAACCCGAACCGAATTCTTTACAACCATGAATTACAATTAAAATACAAAGAACCTTACATAGTTAAAATGATCTAGGTTTTTCAAATAAAGTGGCTAGTCATGTACAACTCCAATTCAAAATATTAGAATAACCAAAAAAGGCATTGTATTACCTTATAAAATGCGTGATATCTTTAAAAATAAACAACGGTGGCGAGCGGAAATATTATTAACCGTCCACAATTAGTTGACGTATAATATTATTGTTCACACGCACCTAAAGAAGTGTTAGAGATTTTATAAAAAAATATTGAAATTTTTCAAAATATTAAAATATTTCCAGAGGCGATTCAAAATATTAGAATATCTGTAAAATTGTATGCTTGGTCAACGTTAATCATAAAATTTGCATAAGTTGCGCCACTGTAGAGCTAGTACGCGTATAAAAAGGCTCGTTTGAAAATCAGATTTAGTTAGTTGGGAGTTAAAATGGGTCGAACGAAAGACATACCGGACACTACCAAGACAGCGATTGTGACTCTACGCAATGAGGGAATTAGTCAACAAATGATTGCCAAAAAAGTGAATTGCTCTCAAGGAACTGTAAGTAAAATTTTAAAAGATTATTCTACAAATCAAAGTTTTAAAAATAATCGCTCAAATAGTGGTCGTAAACGAATAACCACACTGAGACAAGACAGAATGCTGAAACGTGTCGTCACTAAAAATCGCTTCCAGAGCTTGAGATTCATAAGTAGAAAGTGGAGAGAACAAGGAGTGGATGCCTCAACATCTACCACACTACGACGACTCCATGAACTTGATTTTCAATCACGTGTGCCCAAGAAAAAGCCGTTACTTACACGCAAACAAAAACGAGCCAGAGTGAGGTGGTGCAAAGACAGATTGCAATGGGGTATTCAGGACTGGAATAACGTACTTTTTAGCGATGAATCGATGTTTTGCGTTTCCCACGGTCATCAGGGTGTCCGTGTTTGGCGTTGCAAGCAAGAAGCTTTTACCACAGATTGCTTGAAAGGCTCAGTGAAGTTTAGCACTTCTGTAATGATTTGGGGGTGTATGGGTGCTGAGGGCTTAGGAAAGCTGTGCATTTTGAAAGGAAGGGTAAATTCTGAAGTATACAAGGAGATACTTGAACATTTTATGATTCCGTCATCGGAAGATCTATTTGAGGATGATTTTATCTTCCAACAAGACTCTGCATCTTGCCACACGTCAAACGCCACCACTACTTGGCTTACTAACAATAAAGTCAAATTACTTCCTTGGCCGGCCAATTCACCCGATTTGAACCCCATAGAGAATATATGGGGTTTAATGAAGAAACGTCTTCAGGATTTAGCTCCAAAGGACAAAAATGAACTCATAGAAAGCGTGAAATCCGTTTGGGCAACTATCAGCAAAGATGACTGCAAAAAAGTAGTGCATCGTATCCAAAATCGTTTGCGTGACGTTATTAAAGCTAAGGGAGATGCCACTAAGTATTAACCATTCATGCAGATTTAATTTAAATGAATTATGCTATTTTTGTTCATGTTATTCTAATTTTTTGAACTACTGTGAAAATTATTCTAATTTTTAGAATTTTTAGAAAAAATTCATTGTAAGAACTTTTGCAATATCATAATAATTTATTTATGTTATGTTCATCTACAAAACATGTAGAATGTGATAACACACTTCAAAATTCTCAGGTATTCATTTTTACCAAAATAAATGCATATCTCAAACCACTATGTGCTTTATTTATCATTATTCTAATATTTTGAATTGGAGTTGTATAAGCGATTAAATTCCTGTTTAAAAGAATAACCTTAAAAACACCAGAGGGGAAAAGAAAAAGAGGAAGACCTAGTTGGTAGGATAGTTAGATAGAGTAGAGAAGTGGTTAAGGGACTTGACAGTTAATAGAGGATAGATCATCAAATAGATCTAGATGGGGTAAACTGACTGAGACGGCCTTGACCGGTAACCGACTGTAGTGCCTAAGAAGAGTCAACGACCATACCTATTATGTTTTTATCTGTGTTACTCCTATTTTATTCAAAAATTTTCTCTTTTTAGGATGAAGAACAAAATGTGGTATTTTGAATTTGCAACATCCGAAACATTTTTTGCTACCTGTAAAAACTTACACGAAGATGTTGATATTATGGTAAGTGAATATTTTTTCAAAACTATTAAATTAATAAGCATATTTTTATAAGCAGATTACTGGGTAATGAACTAGAACTAATTAGATTTAAATTCAACATAAATGTGAGATTTCATTAACTCGCATTCAGCATAAATAACTGCATAATTATGGAAATAAATTACTGCAATTGCATAAATTACTGCATAATATTGTACGGTAAAAATGGATTTTACGGATGAATTTTTGATTGTGAATGGATAGGGATGGATTTTTTTACAGTGTATTAAACCAACTTTCAACTTAATTCTATGATTATTGCATGATTTAAATTTATAAAAAAGAAATTTAAAAAAAAACTGTTTTTTCGAACGCGCAAATGCGCGTTCGAAAAATTAGTGCCATCAAAAATTCCTCCACAAAGGCCAAATTCTCCCAATACTTGATCCAGTCCTAGTTCACCTTGTCTTCTGGGTTGGGTACAAAATTGCAAGGCTAGGGGTTGTACATTGATAGTCGTAAACTGAGAATTAGGTAGACTGTTAAACACTGGTTACAAAATAAAATGCGATAATCATAACTGTAGTTTATAAACACTTTGTCCATTTTCTCAATGCGAGTCATATCTTTTTTATTTAAAGCCAAACCATTTTAACGCGCATTTTGAAAAAAAATTCTATATGCATCTGAAACTTCACTTTTTTTCTTCATTTTTTAAAAGCACATATTAAGATATGTCCGTTTTCTTAGGCACGTATTTAAACTATTTTCATTTTTTTCAAGTGCACAATTCGCACCCAGTTCGTCGGGCTGCCAAAGCAGGGTAGCCATCCCCTCTGCAGAAGATCAAAATTACGATCGCATGTCTTCAGATCATCCTCAGGGATGTTCCCCAGACAGTCGCCAATAGCCTATTGTGCAACTCTAGTGCGACGTAAATAAAAGCACCTACCTCAAGTGCACAATTCGTATATTTTCGAAATAGAAAATTCAGCAGCGATATATATACAGTAGATGTAGTGTTAAGCATATTTTGACTTATTACATTCGTTTTCAACTTTTTTAAATGTAATTACTTTTTTTTAATATTATGCCCAAACATGGATCTGCAAGTAAATTTATTTGATTTAGTGTGATGGCGTATCCTTAGACTTGGCAAATGGACCATCTCTGCAAGGTATAGCTGTTCTAAACATCCCAAGTATTTACGGAGGGTCCAATCTCTGGGGAGACAGTGCCCAGAAAAAAAGAACTCGGTCCAAACGTAAAAAAGATAGAGAGAACTCTTCCAGTAGTTTTAATTCAATTGATCTCAGTTCAGCCATTCAAGGTAAGTCTCTTTTTAAATCAATTTGAGTCATTTATTCATTAGTTTATGACACTAAAATTTTAAACAAAATACAATTTCACCATAGCGACGCTTTCCTGGAATTTCTTTAATTTCCTGGTTACTTTTCACAATGCACAACTACACACTGCGCGTGACAGACAACAATACCTTAGGAGTTGCAATGGAAAGTTTTTTGCCACCACCCCCTAAACCTCGAAACTCGAAACCAGGTAACTCATCTTTTCAAACACTTGAAATCCTTTCTTGCTGACAAGCAGTTGCAGGACCGGGACAGGAATTTAACATATTTTGTACTAGAAGATGGAGAAAATGACATCTGAAACGGTGAAAGATTATTGAAGTAACCCTCTGATTGTTTTTCGACGAGATTCTGTGAATGAAGTTGGTTAATCCGTGTTTCAGTTTTTTTTTAAACAGCTATCTGGTTACACGACAACAAATAGGTGTAGGTGAAAAGTTGGTCTAAGGAAAGTCGTCAGTCTAACAGAAAGTTCCGAATCATCAACTTATTAAGTTGCATCCACCTAACATTACACATAGAAGTTCTATAAAGATTGTTTTAGATTTGTAATGTCATTCTAAGCAAAACTTAACACTAAAATTTTTTTAACTTTTATTTATTTTTATGAAATATGTATTGCAATGCTTCTGAAAACACATAACGTAATAGCGAAAATAGACTCAAAGACAAACAGTTGTTAAAATGAATTTAAGATTCACTGATTTATGTCAAATCATGTGCAATCTATGTGTTTGCAGATATAGGAGATCGTATGATTGAAGTAATAGGATTGGAAAATTGTATGCATGTAGGTCAAGTGAAAGCTGGTCTTCGCGCTTCGGGACGCCGGCTGGCCCAGTGTTCCTCTGTTGTGATAAGGTAAATCTTTTTTCCTCACTTATAGTGTCAATTGACGTACTAACATACGAGTCAAAGTTTATTGAAAAAAGTTTGAGACATTTAATTGAAAAATCAATATTAACCCACCTTTTTATTTTTACCTTTAAATTACTAACTTTTTAATTTTACTTTTAATTTAACCCACCTTTTTATTATTCCACCTTTTTATTTTAACCCACCCTTTTACTGGTTTATCCAGTTACATGATAAGTCTACTTTTATTCTGCATTAATTTATCCATTTATGTTCCAAGTTCCCTGAATTTTATTTAACTTTTCATATTCATTCTATGCACAAAAAGTGTTCCTGCAAAGGCAGTTTGCATAAATCAGAAAAACATTTCCATCTTAAACATATTTTCACATCTTTTACTGTCATCTTCAACTTACCGTTCCCACTGAGACCAGCTTATATAATTTAAATTAATATTATTTAATTTTGGGTTCTAGAACTTTGGAAATTCTCCGTTTTAAACGAAATTACGCTTTAAATGGTATCTGATGAAACTAAGCGTATTTCGTAGTCAGAAATCAACCTGGATATAAATAAATTTTAAAACATATTTAAAGAAGTTTTCCAACATTTTTTTTTAATTAATAAATCAAATAAATCATAAAATAAAATAAGTGAATTACTATTTTTTTCACTAAATTTAAAGAACGTTTATGTTTCAAAAAATACCCTTATATTATATACACTTTTGTAGCTTATTTTAACTGAATAGTTTTTTTAACTTATAAGACACTTTTTTATAAATAAATTGATTTTTTACGATGAAAACAGCTTAGAAGGAAAAAAAAACCTGCACCCTTGTTTTTTAAAAAAAAAATTTTATATAAGAATGTTTAATAATGTTTTAAATTTAAGAAACATTTTTGTCTTTCCAAAGTTTTAGGGAAAAAATAAGTTAGGAGCAGCAGATTTTTAAAAACACCCCATTATTGTACAATAAAAGGACGAAGAAAAAAAAAACTTCTTTTTTTTTCATGCATTTCTGGAAATAATCTATTCGAATATCTTCGTACTTTGAAAATAAGATTGGTTATTTCGTTCAATCTCATTATTTGTCTGCTGTGCCAAAAATATTTATTCAAGATGCCTTTGGATGTGTTAATCAGTATGTATAAACATGTTTTCGTATTAGATTTACAAAAGATTCTAAGGCTATTGTGATCAAAGTTAACACCACTACTTGTAATCGATTTTGGGTAAAGGAATTAAAGCTGACTGGTTGACAAAAGAATGTCACGCTCCAAAGCATTCTAAGAATAAGTCTGGAATGCAATTTTCCTGAATATGTTTTTGGCTGCCATTTCAATTCTTTCAGCCTTACTTATTAGTTTCCTTTTTATTTTAAACGTTTCGCCACCAATTCAACTAACATAATTGTATGCCTTTTTAATTATCGTTATTAGTTTTCATATTTTACAAAATGTTCTTAGAGCTATTGGGAGTACAAATTAGTTCAGTCCGTTTTTAAGAGATGGCTCTGCTGTTATAAATGTTTCATGATGGCAGCTGGTTTCGGTGGTTTCAGAGAGGTTAAACATCTGTCAATACTATTCAGTTTATATCGCTTTGAGTTTCATACAAAAACACTGTTTTTTACTTTGTTGAGTATGTCAAGTTTTGTGGTAACTAAGCGGGATTTTTGCGGGAGGTTTTATGCTTCTGCTTTAATTGGACGAAAAGTACAGCTGAACACCATCGAATGCTTGTAGAAGTTTATGGTGACAATGCTCCAACTGATAAATCATATAGGAAATGGTTTCGACGTTTCAAGAATGGTGAAGGAAGAATAGTTAATAGTTTTGTATACTATTAGCTGTTACAACCTGGTGATGCCATTACGGGCGATCGGTATAGGCTACAATTAATTTGTTTGAGCCGTGCATTACGAGAAAAACGGCCGGAATACGAACAAAGACATGTCAAAGTTATTCTTCTGCCTAATAACGGTCGGCCTGATGTCGCAAAAGTAGTTAAAAATTATTTAGAAAAGTTCAAGTGGGATGCCTTACCACACCCGCTGTATTCGCTGGACATTGCTCCTTCTGATTACTGGTGGTTCCGACGGATGCAGCACGATTTGGCTGGTCACCAGTTTACTTCTTTCACAGAAATCGAAAATTGGCACCAAACGCCTCAAAAGACTAGACATTTTTTCGAGATGGAATTCGAAAATTTGACTGAGAGGTGGGAAAAAGTAGTAGCCAGCGATGGACAATACTTTGATTAATCTGTTCACTCATTTTGTTCTGAAACAAATGCATTTTTGATCACAAGAAAAACGGGCCGAACTAATTTGTACACCCAATATTTTACAACCTTTCCCTCTCCATAAAGGTTTTTTGCACTCTTTTTTATAGTATTTGAAAACAAATAAACAAAATGCGATCTTTCTATCAAACTATTTTTTAAATGTTCAATAAGAGAATCACTTTCTATTTTAAGTTTTTAAGAATAGTTTTTTGGCAAATTTTATGACATTAAGACTCTGTAAGATACTTAGAAAAATGTCCTTTTGTTACCAAAGTGTATAAAATTGTAATACTAATATTAAAATTTTTCAAAAATATATGAGCGTATAGTTTATCTTAAAAACGATTTTACATTACTTACTATAAAAAAATTTAGTATTGCATTTTTCTATAAAATGATTTCACATTTGTCATATGAAACGCCTGTCTAACTGAAAAGTACCAAAATTAGATCACAAACGCGACATTTGAGAACTGATGACTCAGGGGATAGAGAGTTCGCCTTCCAATGGAACCGGGTTCGAATCCCAGTGATGGCTGGTCGATACGAATTCCGCATACGGCTTACACTGTCATAAAATATCCTCAGTGGTAGACGGATCATGGGTTAGAGTCCCCATGCCATCAAGCTAACCGTGGAAGTTTTTTGTGGTTTTTCTCCCCATATAACTCAAATGCGGGTTAGATCCATCCAAAAGACTTCCACTAAGGTCAATTTCTCCCAATACGTGATCCAGGAGTTCCTTGTCTTCTGGGTTTGGTTCAAAATTACAAGGCTACGGAGTTGAACATTAGTAGAAACCCAAAATTGGATCGGCTGCCCAACAAACTATACATTTCCATGATGGTTTAATGGGAATTCTTATCGGTTGTCAGGAATAAACCATCAAAACAATTTTTGTTAAGTTGGTTGTTCAATGACGGTTATAAAATAAAATGAAAACATAGTGACGTTTTGCTCTATTTTCAGAACTATCTTCGAGGACCCCGACTAAAGATTGATTAAACTTGTCCTGTCAGTCATAAACAACTGTGCAAACTCATGGCAGTTACGAAAACAACATATTTTTTACAATAAAACGTTATATAAACGTTGCAATAAACGCGACTGAGCCTTCGAAAAACAGCCTTAAATTAATTTTGATAGGATTGATACAATACTAACAAAATAACAATTAAACAGTTATAATACTCAAACATGATCGTGTGCAACACCACTCTTCGGAGTATGAAGGTAGGGAATATTCGTAACAGAATCAAACAAGAAAAATGAGTTAATCGGGAGCATGGCTGTACTTTCAGTGATTCGTAGACCCCTACCGTAATTCAATAAAGAATCTATGACAGTTTAAGATTTTCTGTCGCATTTGATCCTACTCGTACTGCTGTTTTTAAACCCTTAAAGATCAAGAGAAGGGAGTTGTGAGTTATTGTTGCCCTCCTTGTTAGAGCGTACCAGACATACTCTACAGGGTTGAGATCTGGGTACCTGACCGAAATTATATATTCTTCATTTCTTAGCTATCTCCAGTTTCCAAAAAATCCCTGATTGAAAAAAACAAAAACTCTAGGTGACAACGCGTTGTTATCCATTAAAAGAAAATCATGATTTAATGCAAAACACTCCTGGTAAACCAAAATTGACCATGAAAACGAAGCTTAATCTTGAAATATCCATTTTCATTCTTTTCCAAGACATTATCCTTATGCCTCACATCAGGGACAGTGACTCGTTTTAAGACTTGCAAATTATGTCCCTTATTGGTATGCGACTATCCAACTTGTTGTCTACTCAGACCCTCAAACTGTCACTGTCATAAAGATTGATTTCTCGGACAATGGACAGTATGTAATTGACCCCTGACATTGGAGACAAGTCTGAGAATTCTAAATTCGACTATGACATTATGATAACAGAATACATTGGGATAACAGAGGTTAGCCATGAAATCAAAAAAAGAGAAACCGAACGAAAGAATATTAGGGTGATTTCTCACTTTTAATTTGCATTCTGTACGCTCCCGTATGTAAGAATTGCGCATGCGCAATTGGAAGAGCGTTAATTCTGGTGAAAGGCGCATGCCCCTATAAAAAAAATATCAATATCATAGAATACTGCAATGATTCTAGTGATGATTGATGAGATCTTTAAATTCTGTTATTTTTTAACACCGATGTATATCAATTCTAAAGTTTTTTGGGCTTTTTTTTCAGGACGAAAAAACGTTTTCCAATGCAAATAGACGGTGAACCTTGGATTCAGCCACCTTGCACTGTAAGTATATGTGTTATTACCCATTTGCAAAATGGGTTTTGGTTTGAATTTGATGGCGTCATCACGCTTTTCAACTGCAATAATCAAGAGTAATAGTAAGCAGTGCGGATGCATTGCTATGGCGACCGCTGCTGTTTGATAATTTGTATAGAATTCATTTTTTCACTTTTAATTTTGTTATGCTGTAAGTTGGTGTGTTTATTTTTGAGATATAGGACCAGAGAGATTCTATAAATACTTCTTGAGTCGATTGAGACTATCGCGTTATATAAATAATTCAAGCAATTAAAAAGGAGACTTAACAATAAAATTTGAGTATTGGTTAAATCAAATTACTTACTGGGAATTTTGGGACAAAGTTAATATCTATTTTACAACCATTGGGGAAAATCTTTCTAAACATTAGCGTATGTGTTTAGACTAGAGTATGATGCTATATGTTTGAATGGATTTGTATAGATATGTATGCTTAGAGTCACAATATATTGCCAATTTTATTTGATTCATTCCAAATTAAATTTTACTAAATTGCGTGATTACCAATTGTTCTAAGACTCTATAAAAATATATTGATATCAAAGTTTAAAAATCAAAAATAAATACTAAAGGCTACAAAAAAAACTATTGATATCCTAATTTGATATATTGAAACAATAGTTAAAATGTCCCATAAAATATGCTTATATCACAATTTAATCCCTGAAATAAAAAAATTAACGTGTTACAAATATTCCAAGTGCATCGATTTTTATCTGCGAAAGAGTTGTTTTAATTATTAAAATTGTTTTACAAAACCCTTAGAACCGAATATTTTATAACAAAAATGCCAAAGAAAATGTTCTGCAACTAAAATGCGACGTTTTTCTTTCTTATTTTAGATTCACATTAGCCAGAAAAACCAGATGACGATGCTCATGGCTCCCCAACCCACTCGAAAATCAAAGTTTCCTTTTTTCTTTTTCAAGAAGAGGAAATAATCGTGCCAACTTCTCATCATATTCCGTGAGTATAGCCTTTATTTCTTCTTCCATACATCAAAAATGAACCTCGACATTTTAAATAGCGTGAACTTAACTTCAAAATGCATTCAGTATGCATATTACTTATTACTTGGCTGTATAAAAACAAATAAGCAATATGCATATTATTGTCTCAAGTAATAATAATACAAAAGTAATAATAAAATGCATGTTATCAGCTGACACTATGCATATTATTATTACTTATTGCTTTATTAAAGTGCAAAATCAAGAGTTTTCAGTAATGTGTGCAGTGCGCCAAAAAAAACGACCACTCTGAATGACTTCTGATCTAATAATCGGATCTTCACGTTCTAGGACTCAATCTTAATGGTTCAAGGGGGGTGACCTCAAATATTCTAATTAATAAGTGCAGACGATATTTTAAGTTACGAAATATGACACAAAAACGTACTTTCTCTGAATAAATACACTTTTTTTTCTCAACGGATTCGTATTTCTGACCCTCGAATTATAGGGGGTAGTCGCAATCTGAGAAATATGATTGGTCAGAAGAGCGGTTTAAAGTTTGGACCCCTTCATGTTAATTTTACTTTTTGCGTACTTCCCCATCAACCGAAAACTTTTTAAGCGAATTGAAACAATTCTGCCTACAATTATAAAATTCCTATACTTATTAGTTTTCCTTTCTTAATCTTATGGAATTATTCTTTTTAAAGTTTTACTATAAATAATATTTATAAAGGAATAATTATTTTTTAAAAAATTAAACACGTAGTCTCTTATAATTTCAGAAATGCTCATTTGGGGGCGTCGTTCACTTATATTAAGCACTTTCACATTCATCATTGACTTTATATGACATAACGGATAAAAAAAATAATTCAGCACGATTTTTTTTTATTCATGGTTGTTCTAATCTGGCAAACATCATTGATTTTATCATTAAAACACTCGATAAACAGAATCATCCTCAGTTTAATTTATATCAGTGTCTAGTTCTAGCCAATGAGAGTTTCCATTTTACAAACGTGTCTTGAGAATGATTTTTAGGATTGAGGACTAAAAGTGCTCTTTTCATCCACTGTCCGAATTTCAGGACGCTAGCCCAAACGGTTCTGGAGTTATGAAAGAAACACATAGATAGAGAAAATCTTCAATTTATTATTATATAAATTAACTCAAAATATATAAATTAACTCCTTTTGAAAACATTAATTATTCGCTGGGTATGTTATCATACCAATGTTTTTTTTTTCCTTAAGGTTGTTAATACCATACTCTCAATGTGATACGTTAAAATAATTCAACCTTAGAAAAAAATTTCGGATTAAAAGTAATCAGGAATTTGTTTATTTTTACTTCGTTTGATCTTAATAGTAGAAAAAAATTTCAGGTCTTTGATCTTTCCATAAGAAAATTCTTTAGTAAGTCGTGCTTTTTAAGTATTTTTTTATCCTTAATTCCACTTTTTTTTTTCAGATTTCAAGCATACTTTTTTATCGGCAAGAGTTAATTAATTAATTTAATTAAGTCTTTTTCTACTAGTAGCATTATTGTTTTTTTAAATTTGTTTCAATATTTTATAAGTTTCAAATTACTTTGCTTGGTAATCCTTCTCGGTCTTTTCGAAGTTTTCATACATTTAAATTATTAGTTTTCATAAACAAAGACTTTAAAAATTAAAATTCCAATTTTTTATGTTCAGTTTGTTTTTAAACAACTTTCTTAATACTTTAATAGAAATGTCATTGTTAATAACAGTAACTATAACTTCATTAATATGTGACTTCTTCGCTAGCTTCCCGTTCGATAGAATAGAATAAAATTTTATGAAAATTTATGTAATAAAGTATGAGTCCAAAAATAGTGTTAAAAACGATTATACAGCTCTCGCCGCTACAGTTACAGAATTTCAAAATTTGCAAGTGACGGCATCGGCTTATTTTCATCAAAATGTAACCTTTACTATAAAAAAACGTAGAAGGAAGTGAAGGACAATATTTTCTGCCTAAAAAGTATCTAAAAGAGTGCTAAGCAGAGATGAAGAAAAGAATTCTGAAATAACTTTAGACGCTCCAGTGATTGGTACTAATACACGAAAATCATCAATTCAAATCTTTCCACATTTAAAAAGTCTTTTTCATCATTTTCGGAGTGACAAGAGTATTTAAATTTTCAACCAATTACATTCAAAATTTAACAACCTATTTTATTTTATTTTAAAACAGCCCGTCGTTGAACAACCGGCGCAAGTTTTGAGTTTACGGTTACTAATGTTAAACTTCGTAGCCTTGTCATTTTGAATCCAATCCAGAAGACAGGGGAACTTCTGGATCAAGTATTGGGGGGAATTTACCTTCGTGGAGGTATTTTTGATGGAACTAACCAGTATTTGGCTGCATGGAGAAGAAAACCTCACACGGTTAGCCTGACGACAAATGGACTCTCACACATGATTCGTCTACCACTAAGGATATTTTACGTCAGCACTGTGATCGGTGGGAGCCGGATGCGGAATTCGTCTCCACCTGCCATCGCTGGGATTCAAACCCAGATCACTTCTTTGGGAGGCTAGCGCTCAATCCCTTGAGCCACCACGGCTCTCTGCAGCATAATTTCATTTTATATTTAGTAACCGTTGTTGAACAACTGACACAATTTTTGGGTTTTCGACTATTTTATTGCAATTTCAGTTTATCATTCAATTAAACTTGGCGTAAATTATACTTTAAGCATTATCAAGGCTCTTCCCTCCTGTTCACGTTATTTTCTAATGTTATTACCAAATAACGCTTTTTATCGCTAAATTTGGCATATTTTTCTGCTACTTAATTACTCAAATACTACGCGAACACATACAATATAAGAAACAATAAAAACAACCCAAGAATACATAATAATAGATTGCATCAAAAAATCTAATATTATTTTGCACAACTTTCAAATGTTAGAAATATGTAAAAGGTCAAAAACGATAAAAGTCATAAATTATTTATCCTCTGCTACGAAGTATTTATAAAAGAAGACAAAAGTTTAAGTTCCTAAAAATAATTATCAACTATTTATGAGCGAGGTGAAGAAATTTTCCGCATAATTTTAATATATAAAAATATTTTTACATTATCTTTAAACAGAGTTGACACAGTTGACTCAAATGCGACTATTTGCAACTATTTTCAGCCTGAGGCGACTATTTCAACTTTTTTTTTGCCTTAAAAAGCAACTATTTTCAGGAAAAACGACTATTGGGAGACTTGTCTGTACTCCTAACTACGTTTTTTAGCATAAATTGGGTTGACAACCTGCAGCCGACGGGAGATTCTAAACACAATTAATTTTTTTTTCTTAAAAAGTAAAATATGTTGAAAATTTTGAATTGCAAATTTGAGGCATCACTTTTTAATGCGCTCAATTTGCTCAGATTCCATTGTAAGTCTACTTTGTCTACTACTACGAATTTTTTTAGAAAAAGTATGTTTCTTTTTTAATGAAAAAGTGTTTTTTTAGTGAATTCTCTAGCAATGGAAAGTATTTAGTTTTCTGCAAATATACTAATTTTTTCGATATAAAAATTTAGTGCTAGAACACTAACGTTTATTTAAAAATTATCATATTTGACACCAACTTGACTAAAAGGATCATGGTATATGACAATCAAGTCATTTAATAAAATTTTCATATTATTGAAAAAAAAAATTTTCATTTAAGCAACTATTTTTATAGTTTTCAGCAACTATTTTCATGCTTTAGGCTACTAAAAGCAAATATTTTGTTCATTTTTTTTCTGTAGCAACCCTGTTAACGAGTGTAAAAATTAGAAATATAGACTCTGAAAAAATAAAAGAAGCAGAAATATGACGAAGGCTTAAAATAAAAATGTTTAAATGATAAAAATGTTGTTATCACAAGTGAATTAGTGAACTAAACTGATTTTTTTCTTCTTCTTTTCTTTTAAAAATTTTTTTAACAATATAAGTTTTCAGAATCGCTTTCCTGTTTAAATATGACTGAATTCTTCATACTTTTAATTGAATCGTTTGTCCTTTTTAACAAGATTGTAATCAATATTAATTTAAATTATTCCATAGTGGCGGAACATTGCACATCGTACCAATGTGAAGGAGAGGTGTTTGTGATTTTGATTGTAAATCAGCGCGTGCAGCGCCATCTTTTGGTGGCCGTTGCAGTATAAACAATGTTTGTAGGTTAAGTTTGTCTCAGTACAGGCAAAAGCTATAACCTTAATCAAAACAACAACCTCAAGCGAAAATTGTAGTGCATATATAACTGTAAGATTTTAAATCAAATCGGTTAGAAATTGAAAAAGGTATGGTGTCTGCACTTTTTTTGTTGCAAAAACAACTATTGTAATTTATGAAGGCTTATTTCGCCAATATACTTTTCTGACTCTTTCATTGGAATTTCTACTCTTTCGTTACGAAATATGATCTTATGTGTTACCGCTAAAGCTCGAAAGCCATTAATATGTCTATTATTTAACTAACCTGCAGCGATTGACTAGTGTAACCCATTAAAGTGCGGAATCAAATGTTTTCCGCTGTTAAGCTAGGTGATAGACGCATTAACTTAGTCCATATCAAAGTTCAAGAGATAGTATTCCTTATTTTACCAGCTAATTTGTTGATTGTATTAAGCTAATTCTTTAGACACTAAAAAATAAATATATGACTTTATGTTAGTTTCTTTAACCCCTTATTTGTCGGCGTCACATCTCATACTTTTGGCGTTTTTGTGCCCGTAGGGTTGACGTCGTATTTCATGCGACGAAAAAAAAATTGCATTATTGAAATTGAATTCGTCGCTACTTACACGTCTCTTTAAATCTCGCAATTATATTTGTATCTCTAACTACTACTAAAAGACGGCGCAACTAGTCCCAATTTCTTCATAATTTTCGCAGTTTGATTTTTCGCCTTGAATTGAAATCAAACTCATTTTGTACTTTCTGTAGTTTCGCTTTCATTAGTGTTACCTGTTGCATGTCAAAATAGTTATGATATATTCAAAGAGTGAGTCCGAGAATATGAATTCATTATCTCTCAATCGGAAGATGATAGTCTTGATATATCAAGTAAAATTTATTTCCCAAAATAATTTTTTTCTTTTTTAATGGTTATTTCATGCAGATATTTATCTTAAACACCTTAAAGCAATAGAGTTAATAAATATGTTACCAGAGTGTTTAAGTCAAAACTTGGGTGCCTTGCAGGGAAAACGGGAGATCATTGGACGGAACATTTCACCACCTATAAGTCAAGCAAAAAATTCCTTGTTGACAAACATATTTTACATTTTCGAAATCAGGATAGAACATATATTAATATTAAAGAATAAAAAAATGCTTTTTTTAGATCGGAAATTCGGAGGAAAAAAAATACGTCACAGAAAGGGCTAGTTGTAATAATATTTTAAACCGTTTAATTCTTCTTATTATAGTTTTAACTCAGTTAACACATTAACTAGATAACACATTAACTTAGTTAACACATTAACTAGATAACCAGTGAAATAACTTATTTATACACTTAAACTGTAACATATGCTTGAACAAATGTTGCAAATGTGAAGAAAAAATAGATTTTTAAAAAATTCACAAAATACTGTATGTCTTACATGTTTCAATAATTTTTTTTAATCTTTTCAGATAGCAAATCAATAGATATTTCTGGACAGTGCTTCAATTTCTACAATAATAAATGAAAACAAGCGTAAGGCACATGAATCTCAGAAACAAGCAGTATTTTCTTTCATTTTTTTATCATCTTTTAATTCAAGTTTTTCATGGTCAGTGTATCAATAGTTGTGTACAAAGAAATGTACAAAATAGCTTCACTTATGTATATCCTCCTTATATTATATTCCTATTTGTTATGTACTGTAAGAATAACCATATTTATAAGATATTCACTTTTGTGAACGATTCTCATCCATTTCATTGTTAACTTTCATTCTGTAGTGACATAGAGAAATAGTGTGACTCAAGCAGTAACATTCGATGCCACTGTCAAGGAGGAACCCTAACTTAAAAATTGTCAAATCGGTGATACTTTCATTTTTGCATAATTTGGGTTTTTGTATAATCTAGTGCCCTTGAAACAGTTCCTTGTTCGTTTTTTTTTTTTTTTTTNAATTTTTTTTTTTTTTTTTTTTTTTTTTTTTTTTTTTTTTTTTTTTTTTTTTTCAATATTCGAAAATCAAGATTGTAAGGAAATAGGAAGAAAAATAATGATGGCTTTAATCTAGTACTCTTGAAAGACTTTTTTTTTTTTCAATATTCGAAAGTCAAAATAATAAAGAAATAAAATGAAGAAATAGTTTTTTCGATCTTGGGCCCTTGAAATAGTTTTTTTTTTCGATATTCGAACGTCAAGATTGTAAAGAAATGAAATGATGAAAAAATAGTGCTCTTGTATCATTCTTTTTTTTTTCTCCAATGTTTGGAAGTAAAGATTATGAAGAAATAAAATGAAGAAATAGTGTTTTTGATGTAGTGCCCTAGAAACAGTTTTTTTTTTCTTTATTCAAAAATCAAGATTATAACGAAATAAGATTAAGAACCAGCAAAAGGAGAAAGTAGCACTTCCCCTCGGTCACCATGCTTCGAGAGCATACGTACGCATGCGAGCGCCGTTGACCTTAATTTCATTTAAAAATTCATATAAAATCATACTGCGGTTAAATATACTGAAATTTACAGTTTATTATCTTCTATAGTTCCTTAATAATAACCGGTCATAAATTGTTCACGATGTTTAAAAAGAATTACGAAACTGACCCATAAGATATCACATAAACCAATAGGCATAACATCCCTTTCCCATTCCATCAAAATATAAACAAAAACCCAGTAGTTCACGTATCACATCTTCCCGACAATTGTATACATGTTTAAATACCCCGGATCAAATAAAATTAAATTACTCGGTTCCGAAATCGCAGATTGAATATCAATCCCATGTGAAACATTCTAAAATATAACCGCCGTCTATTGTTGTTTAAAAATTTAAATAAACGTTCGAAATTGAAGTCACGTCCGCGTGGTTACGGACCGCTGGAATTGGAAAAACTCGTCTCATATATGATATCTGGAGCTGCAAAGGGAGATGGAGATAGAGTCCTGTCATCAGGTATATGTGATCACGGTTATGAACGAATTAAAGCTATTAAACGAAGTATTAGCTAAACACTATCATATCTCGAACGTTTTCTGATTGGGCAAGTCCGCTACTCGTAAACCAATAATTTTATTAATTCTTTTGAAAAAAAATTGTTAAAATCGCCTTATCGAAATTAAAACCTGGGTGTTTTTTCACCTGAGGAAATGTAGTTTTTTCCCCCTTTACTTTGCTATGAAAAAACACTCCAGAGCAAAACAATTTTTGTAATAGTTTATTAATATAGCTTCCGAATTGAATGGATACAACACAGTGAAAAAAAATATTTGTAATAATCAGTCATTGTTGAAGAAAATTTGCAAACAGATAAAAAGAACTTGTTTTCCGGTTTAAAAAAAGAACGAGACATTTCGTACAGCTCCATACTTTTAGGTCTATTCTTTAAATTTGAGATAACTGACATTTAAAATTGAGATAACTGACAAATCACACCTAATTTATTTAAGAAATCTCTATTCTGACGCAACCTAGCACTTATGCTTATTATCTTCTATTCAGAGAATATTCCTGTTAATGTTATAATTTTCTGATGACTTCGAATATCGAAAATAGTTCAAAACGGGATTTCATTTGGCAGTACAATTTATGCAATAAAAATGATGCCAAAACTTGGAAATTAAGTGAATGTCTCTTGAAGAAAGTATTTCTAATAACAGGGCATTCTTGAAGAAAATTTGCTGCAAATAACGAACAAAAAATCTCATTTTCCGATTTAAAAGGAAAAAAAGATGCAAGCTGCATACTTTCGGGTCTATTCTTTGATCGAGCGATTTGAATTTTCACTGACAAACTAAAATAGTGATAAAGGACATTTAAATGTCTTTATCACGTTTTATTGTCTGATCGATCAAACAATAAATCTGTAAATTTTATAATTTTCATAGGATTTTGAACATCGCAGCACTGTTTACGTTGAAGCTTCACTGGGCGTTGCATTTTTGGCAGCAAAAAATAAAAACAATTTTAAAAAAAGTTTCCTCATAAGGTTTCTCCTTAATAAAGAATGTTATTTAAAAATCATAATAAAGTGGTACAATTTTGTAAATATTTTTCTCGTGAAGTCTTACTTATGTCGGAATATTTTGTTTTGATCACATACCTTGTTGCATGGCTGTTTTTGCATAATAGCCCAGTATTTGTTCCAAAAAACATAATTCTTGAAATTTGCTTTATTATAATGTAACTAAATTTAACAAACCAACCATATCAATATCATTAGAAAAAGTCACTAGTATCCTTTATATGACTAGGTCATAACAATGTAATCATATTGTGTGATAGTTAATGAATCTAAATTATGTAACACTTTTTATTGAGTTATCTAAGCACTTATGAAATACAGATTCATCTGTAATCACAAATAATGCGAACTAAACTTGAAAACTTAAGATGACATTTTCTGTTAAAGTTTATCTGTAAAAAAAGAACGTATTGCTAAAGTATATTTAAACTGCTTGTTAATAAACATTTTCAAGTTTTTAACTATGGTGCCAAAATATTGATATATCAATTGACCATTCCATACATTAAATGCCTGTTTAACTATTCCTTACTGTTCACTTTTGACTGTTATATAATAAGAATTTGATGACCAAGGATAGTTTGAACCTTAACCTTAAAAGTTATCATTGAATATCGATGAGTGAGAAAGAAAATGGTGTTTCGATTCATTCCAAATCCTTCTCTCAAAGAAAATCCGATTCAACTTTTGTATTGGTACCTTGAACCATAATAATAGATCAATATGCTGCAAAATGGTGCTTCGATTTATTAATTACTACTCTCTCAGAAAAATCGGTTCTACGTTGAACCATAATGTTATGCTAATTTGCCTCAAAATAGTGTTTCGAATGGCTTTAAATACTACCCTCTCATAAAACTCCGTTCAACGTTAATCCATAATATCGTCTGAATTCGCTGCAAGAAAATGGTGCTTTGATTTATTTGATACTAAATTTGCTGAAAAATCGGTTCAACCGTAATATCGTCCGAATTTGCTGCAAAATGGTGTTTCAATTTGTTCTAAGAACTACATTCTCAGAAAAATCTGTTCAATAATATTGGTACTCTGGTCCAAACTATCGTGCTAATTTGCTGCTACGATGTAGTTTAAAATCTTCACTCTCCGAAAAATCTGTTCAAAGCTAAGCCATAATAATCGTGGAAGTTATGTACAAAATGATGTTTTGATTTATTTCGAGTACTACACTCTCGGAAAAATACATTTTAAACTGAAGCATAATTTTGTAACCTGAATCATAATATCGTACTAATTTGTTGCAACGATTTATTTTAAATTTCACGCTTTCAGAAAAACCTGTTCAACGTTAACCCGTAATATCGTGCAAATTTGCTGCAAAAAATGGTGTTTCAATTTATTTAGTACTAAATTATCAGAGAAATCGGTTCAACATTGAACCGTAATATCGTGCTAACTTGCTGTAAAAAAAATTTTTTTAATTTTATTCTCTTAGACAAATTTCATTAACGCATCGAGAAAATTTGCTTGAAAATCGCATTTTTATTTATTCTTAGTACTACACTCTCAGAAAAATGGATTCAACATTGAACTATAATGCTGGCACCTTAAACCATATTATCGTGTCAATTTTCTGCAAGGATTTTTTTTATTTTAAATTTATAATATTTTAGATTTATAAAATTATTACAAAATTAATCTCGGACTTGCTTACAAATTTTGTCCGATAAAAATCGAACCATATCTCTGCCGTACAATTGAAAAAACAACCTATCTTTGCTTCATGATAGATTCCGAAAAAAGTGACTTGACAACTTTTTTCAACGCTATAATAGAATTTTACAAAACTGATGAAAACAAAATTTATTTTAGAAAAAAAAAGTATTTTTGCAGCATATCTAGTTTATCATACAGAGATGTCAAATATATAAAAATCTCAATTTTTAATTTTTTGTCGCTTACGTTGATTTTTCTATTGCACAGCAGTTCTATATTTGAGAAGAAAAAAAAAACTCGTCAGCTCTTTTAAGCAATAATTAGGATGAATTAGGAAACAACGTATAAAGCACTAAAAAAGCTGACTACTACAATAAACATAATAAATTACGTATCAATCCAAAACGCTGGATATAGTGAATTTCAAATATTACAATTTGATCAATCAATTTAGAAATAAAAAATCAATCAACTATCAATGAATTCAATTTTTCTCGCACGTTGCAACTGTAGATTGAATCCGCAATAGTTACTCCATCATAATTCTTTATTTTGTAATATTTTTTTCAAGCTATTTCAATATATTTCTGAGAGATAGAACTGGGTTGAAATTTTTAATGAGTAATAATATTCGAACCGTCATTTTTCGGAACTTAGTGTCGATTCCCATTGCATTTGATTTGCGTGAATGGCAACAATCATATTCTCAATGCATAGATTCAAATGAATTTCCATTTCAGTAAAAATATTACAATAAAAATACAGTTAACACACTGCTTTATATTTCCATTACAGCTAAAAGTGTGTTATTTAAGCATTTTATAGAGCTTTAATTCGTTTGTGTCCATGGAAAAGAAAGGGGAAATATGTCCTCTTTGGTGTTAAACAAATTAAAAGATTTTAACTTTTTACGAATGGCAATGATTTAAACTGTTTGAAAAATTTGGAGCACACTCTGTTTGTTTCATGTTACAGAACTCGTCTTTTTTTATTCTCATTTTTCTTTTTTTTTTTTTAATTGAAAAAAAAAACATTCGTATTAAAAGGGTTAATGTTATGAAAAATTTTTATATCGCTATAGATGTACAGTGTTTTAAACATTTAAAAAAACACCATTTTCTTAATATTTCATGATATTTAATGATGGTTTTCCAATGATTGCAAATTCAGAGCTTCTGAGTGTATTTTTAGTGCAAAATTTCACAAATGACCTTGTTCTTGAAAGTAGCTCTTGTACATCTTAAATGTATTTTATTAGTAATGTATTATGTTGAAATCATTTGTTTATGATATACTGTTACATTTGTGACAAATAATTTTTGAACTGAAATCGTACTGGGAACAATGGAGCAAAACTTTCAAAAAGTAAACTTTCATGACTTTTATAGTCATAGAATTATTGTATTTTCTTAGTCTAAAAGCACTGTAAATCTTTTAGTTAGAATGCAGATTAG